ATGCGACCGCAGACTAGTCAACAAAATCAGACTAACCTCCAAAATGTTTCAGTTCAAGCTGGTTCTCAGCAACAACTGACCAATTTGGTTGACAAATCGCAAAAGCGCATGAGATGGACACATGAGATGAATACCTTGATAATGCGCGAATACTACAGATCAACTCGACTCGAAACAAATATGACTGATTACAGAAACCAAATATACTTAGCATTCAAACAAAAATATCCAGAACTAAATGTAACGGAACAAAGAATTGCAGACCAACGGCGATTCTTAGCAAAGAATAATAAAATATCCCCGATCGAATTACAAGAAATCAAACAACAAGTAGCACATGAACTATCATTAAATGAAACAACTGAATTAAATACCACAGTAGAAGTAGTGCCAGAAATAGAAGAGACACCTACAACAACAGATAACATAAACAATACAAATGATGAAATAAACAGAATAACAGCAGAAAATGAACTAAAAACATCTTTAGAACAATATAAAGACTTTGAAATAGAATTCAGACCTAAATTACCAAAAATAAGAAGTGGCATTAAAACAAGATCTACTATAATATCGATAAATGATATACTTAAAGATTACATCGAAGAAAATATGTCGTTGAGCGCAATTAATACAATAACGTATTGTGCAGCAGTAGCAGTATCGAGACTCTTAGGCTACAAAATAGAACACATGTCTACAACAAAACCAAATCAAGAAATTGTAATACCTAAATGGCAAAAGCGAATAGAGACACGGATAGAAGGGAAAAGAAAAATAATTGGAAGAATAACGCAAGTGTTAAATGGAAACAAATCAAAAAGACTTAACCAATCATTAAAAGATATATACCGATCATTACAAACAAAACCTGGAAAACTTGAATTTGAATCCATAATCCGAAATTACAACGACACATTAAAACAAACAGTTCAAGCACTATCACAAAGAATTAGAAGATATAAAATACAAAGCGAAAGACGAAAACAAAATACAATGTTCTATAATAACGAAAAAATGTTCTATAGAAATCAAAATAAAATAAATTCAAGCAATTATAACAATACACCACAAATAGATGAAATAGAAAACTACTGGAAAGAAATCTGGAGTAACCCAAAGGAATATAAAGAATCTAATTGGATAAATGATATTGAAGATGAAAATAAAGAAATACCTCATATGACTTCAGTAAATATAATTAAAGATGACTTAACCGAAGCCCTCAAGAAATCCCACAATTGGAAAAGCCCAGGACAAGACAAAATACAAAACTTCTGGTACAAACACTTTACAACAATACATGAACCAATGGCAATAGCAATGGATAAAATAATACAAACAGGACAAACCGATGACTTCCTCACTTCCGGAATAACATATCTACTCCCAAAAACAGAAAATACATCAGATCCCAGCAAATATAGACCAATCACTTGCTTAACAACAATGTATAAAATCCTAACATCCATAATATCAACAAAAATATATAATCATTTAAGCAACAACAACATAATAGCTGAAGAACAAAAAGGCTGTATAAAACACTCTATGGGCTGTAAAGAGCAATTAACAATAGACAATATCATAACAATAAGAGCTCGTCAAAAACATAGAAATCTTGAAATGGCATACATAGACTATAAGAAAGCATTCGATTCAGTCCCTCATAAATGGTTATTAAGAGTGTTAAAACTATATAAAATTGACAACACACTGATAAACACATTAGAAAATATGATGAAAAAATGGAATACTAAATTGTGTGTCAATACAAATAATGGAACAAAAATAAGTACAGAAATCAAAATAAATAGAGGAATATTTCAAGGAGATTCACTCAGTCCTCTGTGGTTCTGCTTAGCCATAAACCCACTGTCATCACTACTTAAAAAGCTAAAAGGCGTAAATCTAAAATCAAGTGATACAAAATATAATCTAACACATCTACTATATATGGACGACTTAAAACTATACGCCGAAAAAGAATCTGATTTAAATGCAATGCTAAAAACAACAGAAACTTTCTCCAATGATATAAATATGGAATTCGGATTAGATAAATGTGCTATAATGAAACTGAAAAGAGGAGTCTATTCTGAAAGAAATCAATACGAAACTGAAAACGGATATATAAAGGCACTAGAAAATGGAGATATATATAAGTACTTAGGAATTAAGCAAATGCATAAATCTAAAATGACAGAAGTTAAAGAAGAAATAAAGAAAACATTAAACCAAAGAATAATAAAAATACTAAAATCTCAACTAAACTCAAACAACAAATTCAAAGCCATAAACACTTGGACTATACCTGTACTGACATACTCGTTCGGAATAATAAAATGGAGTAAAACAGAACTTGAGACCATTGAAAGACATATAAGGCGACATCTTACAATGTTTGGACTACACCACCCTAGAAGTTCTGTAGCACGACTGTGTGTTAGTAGAAAGCATGGGGGTAGAGGGTTACTAAACATTGTAAGCCTTGAAGCCAAACAGCGAGAATTGCTGAGAAAATACCATCAACAAAAATGCAATGTCTCAGAGCTCCACAAAATAACATCAACACTTGATTACAACTACACACCTCTAAATCTCAGCAATAATGAACATCAAATAGAAATACAAAATGAAAAAGAGAGGATTAACACATGGGCCTCAAAAGAACTCCACGGTAGATATAGAGCAGAACTCAACCAAACACACGTAGACGAAGAAATGTCTACAAAATGGTTGAAGTACGCCGGTCTTCATGGAGAGACAGAGGGGTTCATGATGGCAATACAAGATCGAGTGATTCCGACACGAAACCATCAGAAATACATCCAAAAGCTAAATATACCAACAGACAAGTGCAGGATGTGTCATATGGAGTCCGAAACAATAGAACATATACTAAACGGGTGTAAAGTACTCACAAACACCGAGTACCTAAGCCGTCACAACCAAGTAGCCAAAATCATACATCAGGAATTGGCAATAAGATTCGGACTAATCAAAGAACCATTACCATACTATAGATACGAGCCACAAAGTGTAATGGAAAGCAACAGAGCCAAGCTCTACTGGGATAAAGAAATAAGAACAGATAAGACTGTGGCCCACAACCGCCCAGATATAGTACTAGTAGACAAACATCAAGATAAGGCATACATAATTGACATAGCGGTCCCACTAACACACAAACTACAGGACACGCATAGTGAGAAACGCCGAAAATATACAGACTTGGCCTATGAGATCAATAAGATGTGGCGCATTAAGAAAGTTGAAATCATACCTATAATCCTGTCATCAATGGCCGTAATACCGAAAAATCTGGCCCTAAGTTTGGAATCACTGGAAATCAGAAAAACTAAGATCTATGAAATGCAAAAAGCAGTGATACTTCAGAGTTGTAGAACAGTCAGAAAAGTACTAGACTTGAGTTGAGTCTAACCAGTCGTGTCTCTGCCACCAAAAGTGGCCGACACAACTGTGATCACACCGGAACAACCGTGATATACAAAGATAATAATAATAATAATAATAATAATAATAATAATAATAATAATAATAATAATAATAATAATAATAATAATAATAATAATAACAAACAATTATTTTGTACGCCCTTGACTGTGATATCGTGTACAAAGTGTATATCATATATTTTTTATTAAAAAAAATTATCAAGCTAATTTTATATTCTATAAAATTCAATATATAATTTTCCTAAATGTTTACAACAATTTACAGTTAATTTATTTGAGTTAGTTAATTTTATTTATTTAGTTAATTACATAAACAAATATTATTACAATCTGTACAATTTTACTACGTTCGGGTCTTACAGGACTCAATATCAAAATTACAAAAAAAAAATAAAAATTTATCTGGCTAATTTTAAATATAATAAAAAATTATACATATTTAATATAAATTTTAAAAACAAAATGTAAATTAAATTTAAAAAAAACAATACTTACAAATAAAGTCCAATCAATAGTGTTATAATAATAGCTAATGAATTTAAGCCAAACAAAGCCGAGAAAATCATTTTTATTGTTGTTGTTATAAATAATAATTAGTAGATTAATAAGTAATGATTTTTTAAAATTATTATAAAAATATTAAGAGTTGAAATAAATTAAAAGACAAAATTAAAATACACTTTTCCAAGTGTTTATATACTGTTTAGTAACTGATTTATTGATAATAAGTTTAAATTATATCTATCATAAAAGTGATATAACTTGTTTATAATAATTATAACAGTAATTATAACTGTAATAAAATAATATTAACAACCAATAGAATTATACGAATCAGAATATATAATTAATTGTAAATAATTTTTTTTATTATCTTATCTTTGTCAATTTTTAAAAAAATAATTAAAAATACAGTAATTACTATAATAGTTTTTAAAACTATTTATTTATAATATTGATATATACAAAACAAATATTATTAGCTATAGTACATTAAGATCAATATATGACCTTGATTATTTATAAACATTTAACACACAATTTATTTCTATGTCTTATCACTATTAGTTATAATTAGTTTTATTTATTAATATAAATTATTTAATAATATTCGGTATTATAGACAAAATATAAATATTAAACACAATATTATTATTATTATTATTTATATTTTTAAATATATAATATTAATATTCAAATGATAGCTAGTTTTTTAAATACTAATAATAAATATAGTAAATATTTTTTTAATCAAAAAAGGATATGATATTGTTTAAAAATAAATATTATAAATATATTGTATATCTAATTTACCCATAACTATTTGTAATTGTTTATATAGAGTATAATATTAATATTTAATATATATATTTATACTTTTTACATGAAATTGTTATTTTTATAATACTGTTAATGATACTAATTATTTGTTATGTAAGAAAATAAAAAAAATCAATTAGTTAATAATAAGTTTAATTAATAATAACAAATAATAAATTTATGAATCAATAATAAAGTTTTTTAAATTCTGTGTTCAATTCCAACGTTTATAGCATCGGTAGTCAAAAGGATTTCATATTTCTTGGGTTTCAACGGAATAGTAGTGTTGGCTGTCTTTACAAACTTGTATTTTGTGATCAGGTATGCGACAGCTGTCTTGACTTCCATCAATGCAAACCTCATTCCCACACAATTTCTGGGACCCAAACCAAACGGCATATAAGTATAGGGAACTAACTTATCCCGATTGTAGGGCATAAACCGTTCGGGATCCCAACGATCGGGTTCGGGATAGTATTCGGGATTGTGATGCAGTACTTGAATATCAAAGTTAACGAGCATTCCTTTGGGAATTGTTAGTCCGGTATCGCCTAATATATATCAATTAAAAACATCAAAATTGAAATATCTTTTAAAAATAATTTCGTTTTATTTCAATTACAAACCTATAGTATAATCTTCAACAGCCTGACGACTAACAGCCGTAAGYGGATTATAGATACGTAATGTTTCGGCAATACAGGCCTCCAGGTATGGCATTTGGGCTATAGTTTCGTAGTCGTAGTTACCATTAAATTTGTTTACTTCTTCGTACAGTTTTTGTTGACAATCAGGACTGATGGCCAACGAATAAAACAGATGAGCCAATGTTGTGGCCGTTGTCTCGTAACCGGCCACAAAAAATAATAACGAAGTGGCCAACAGATCCGTATCAGTGATATCTCCTTTTGGTTTATTATACTTCAGACTGTCTGTCGTACCATAAAGTTCTTCGCTTTTGTCGCCACCAATCACTTCCTGATCATCACTCGTGTCCATTGTCTTGTTTTGTGCATTTAGTATCAACTGTAGATAATCCTTATGTTTTTTGCCATTGATCTCAGATTTTCTTTGCGTGACTATTGACTTAATCTGTTTGATTAAAAAAATATATATTGATTTTTGTTTGTTATGAAAATAAATAGTATTCAATGACTCTTTACGACACTTACAGCGTTAACAAAAAAATTAGTTGCCGTCGGATCCAAAAATTTCAGACCCGACCATTGCAACAGTTTTTGCGATATTTGCATCAATACAAACACTGCCCAAACACGCCAACTGCCCCGAAACACTTTCTGGGCATTCAATATAAATTCATTGCGTTTTTGGTCATTATATGTATCGATTTGTGTACCAAACGCACAGATAGCTATGACATCCATCGTTAGATTACCCATTGTTTTCTTCATTTCAACCTCTTTCTTGTCCGATAAGTGTTTGTCCAAACGTTTGATACAATCAATAATAATCGGATGCATTGAACGCATTTTACCGGATGAAAATGTCGGTGATATCTAATTTAAGGATTTTCAATTAAAACAAACAAACAAATTAATATATCATATAATTATTTTTTTAATTACAATTGATCTCATTTTCTTCCAGTCGTCACTTTTCAAGTTAAACAATGATCTGTCGTTAATCGGATCACCCGTTTCGAAGTCGTTGCGGTCGACAAACAAATGAAAGTCTTTAATATTCATATCTTTGACTATTTCGGGATCCGATACCACAAGTACTGGACGATCGGCAATGAATAATCTAATATTTAATTTTCAAATTTAATTATAATTATAATTATTTTGTTTATTGTTGTTGTTATTATGATTGTTAATACTAACCCATAAATTTTGCCAAATTTTTTATAGTTATCCATATTTATTTCACCTAATGATTTGGAAAATATTTGCCACATTGTGCCCAAACCGGGTATTGGTTTCGGGCCATTGATACCCCGGGATGACCAGAATTTAAAGTTTCGGGTCAAATAGCTTTTTAAGTTAAACAAAAAAATTTAAAGTTATTTTTTACTATAATCAGTACTAAATGTAAATTTAAGAAAATAAAACACAATACTTACAAATAAATTGCTATCAATAGTGTTGTTATAATAATTAATGAATTTAAACTAAACAGTGCCGAGAAAATCATTTTGTTGTTGTTGTTGTAAATACTTTATTATAATTAATTATTATAATATTATTAATTAATAATTAAATTAATTTATTAATTCATTAGATAAGTTGCAACAAAAATAAAAGTCACATATTAAATAAACTTTTTACAAGTGTTTATATATACTTTATTATATCAATATTATAAATTACTTTAAATGTATTTAATAGTGATATCCAAAATAATGTATAAACTTGTTTTATGATTATTACAGTAATAATAGGATAGTAATAATAATAACAACCAATAGGATGCCTAAATCAAGGTCTAAATCGTCATATAATTATCAATTGCTATCAACAAACAAAAAACTTGATTTTAATTTTAACTTTTCATGTTTTACTTAATATTAAACTATTGTATATTAAATACTTGTTATTGCATCAGAAATAAAATATTGCAATATTGAAGAAATTGATGAAAATAATTAATACTTTAAATATTATTATTATTGTTATACACTTAAATCAGTATAATATTATATAATGCAATTGTAAATAATATTATTAGTTTATTATTGTCAATTAAAATTATTTATTTTTTTAAAAATATATACTGATTATAATAAAGGTTAAATTATTTATTAAATAGACATGCAAAAAAAACAATATTATCAGGTGCAATAAATTAAGTTCAACATATAACCTTGATAATATGATATAAGTATTATATAATTATATCATATACTTATATATACAGTTTAATATTTACATTACTAATAATAAATATACTGATTAAACTTTAAAGTTATAAGTAGTTTATTAATTAATATAAATTATTAAATTAAAAATTAAATTAAAAAATACAAAATATAAATATTAAACACAAAATTATTATTATTAATAATATTATTATTTTGAATAATGATATTTTTCACTAAAATTTACAATTAGTTAAACTAATACAGTAGTAGTGATATCAATACTAATTAAAATCAATAGTAATTTTTTTTAATAAGTAAAAACGGATATGATTTTGTGACAAAAAAATAAATATTTGCTAATATCTATAACATTTAGTATTTAAAAATTACATTATTTTAAAAATAAATACACTTTATATTTAAAATAAAATATTTAAAATAATCATCAGTTATAAACATATACAGTATTATCCAGTAACTGAGTGCAGTGTACTGTATCCCTAAATCATCAATAAGTCTACTAAAATTAAATAATTGGTTTGAATGTATGTGTTTAACCAGTAAGAAAAAAATATTATTAGTATTCATATACACAATAGTTATACTCAAAATAAATTTAAAAAAAACAAATTGTTTTTTTTAATAATATTTTAAACAATTAATTTCTGTGTTCAATACCGACAAACTTGTCGCCAGTATTCAATAAAAACTCAAATTTCTTGGGTTTCAACGGAATAGTAGTGTTGGCTGTCTTTACAAACTTATATTTAGTGATCAGGTATGCGACGGCTGTCTTGGCCTCCATCAGTGCGAACCTCATTCCCACACAATTTCTGGGACCCAAACCAAACGGCATATAAGTATAGGGAACTAACTTATCCCGATTGTAGGGCATAAACCGTTCGGGATTCCAACGATCGGGTTCGGGATAGTAGTCGGGATTGTGATGTAAAGTTTCGACATCAAAATTAACGAGCATTCCTTTGGGAATTGTTAGTCCGGTATCGCCTAAAATAAATATAATGCTAATTATTAATACAAGTTTTATTTTATATATATTTATTTTTAATAATATATATTTTATAAACTTATTTATATACAGACCTATAGTATACTCATCGGCAGCCATACGACCGACTGCTGTAATCGGTGTGTATAGACGTAATGTTTCGGCGACACAGGCCTCCAGATATGGCATTTGGGCGATACTTTCGTAGTCATACTTACCATCAATTTGTTTGATCTCTTCGTACAGTCTTTGCTGGCAATCCTGATTGACGGCCAACGAATAAAACAGATGAGCCAACGCTGTGGCAGTTGTCTCATAACCGGCCACAAAGAAAACAAACGAAGTGGCCAACAGATCCGTATCGGTTACCTCTCCTTTGAGATCATTATATTTTAGACTATCTGTAACACCGAATATCTCCGGATTTAAGTCATCCATTTCTTGATCATCAATGGTATCTTGTGTTTTGTTTTGTGCGTTAATCATGAGTTGTATATAATCTTTATATCTTTTAGCATTTCCTTCGGCTTTACGTCTAACGACAATCGACTGAATCTATTAATCAATTTTTTTCATTATTTTAGAGATTATTAGATAAGTGTTAATAAATCTTTTAATAATTATTTATTATTTTTTTCATAACCCTCAACAACAACAACAACAACAACAAACTTACGGCATTTCTGAAAAAGTTTTCAGCTCCGGGATCCAGAAACTTGACGCCTAACCAATTGGCAAACTTTTTCGATATCATCAACAATATGAGTGCCACCCAAACCCGCCAATTGCCGCGAAACACTTTCTGTGCGTTTAGTACAAAATCGCTAGTTTTTTCGGCATAGGTATCGATTCGGGTGCCAAAAGCACAGGTAGCTATGACATCCATTGTCAGATTACCCATTGTTTGTTTCAATTCAATCTCTGTCTTATCCGCTAAGTGTTTGTCTAGACGTACGATACAGTCGATGATAAGCGGATGCATTGAACGCATTTTACCCGACGAAAAGGTTGGCGATATCTATTTAAACAAAAAAATTCAAATAACAATTAAATTATATTTAAAAAAATAGTTATTAGTTTTTTGTTATATTTTATGTTTAAGTAATTAATTAATTAATTAAATATTTTTTATGTATCCATTCAATTACAATTGATCTCATTTTCTTCCACTCGTCGCCCTTCAAGTTAAACATTGATCTGTCGTTCATAGGGTCGCCAGTGTCCAGATCGTTGCGGTCGACAAACAAATGAAAGTCTCTAATATTCATTTCCTTTATCAGATCGGGATCGGCAATGGTAAGCACCGGGCGATCGGCCATAAATACACTAATTATTAATAATAAATCCATTTTTAATTCAGTACAGTGTGTTTGTTAGCAAACAAACAAAACAAACAAAATCTTGAAAATTATTTAATTAATTTTTTTGGATAATACTAACCCATATATTTTTCCATATTTTTTGTAATTATCCAAATTTATTTCGCCCATTGGCTTGAAAAATAGTTGCCAAAATGTGCCCAAACCGGGTATTGGTTTCGGGCCATTGATTCCCCGAGACGTCCAGTAGTTGAAGTTACGGGTCAGATAACTAAACACATGAAAATTATTATCATTATTATTATTAGTTTATCATAATTTTAAAAACGTTTTTTAAATAAAACTAATTTTTAAAAAAAATTATGTATAATAAAACTTACAAATAAAGTGCTACCAAAATGGTAATAAAAATAATTATTGTATTCAAACTAAACAATATCGAGAAAATCATTTTTTTTAAACAATTATTTTAATTCTCAACTTTTATGTAAAAAAATATAAATATTAATAAGATTTTTAAAAATTCAGTACTAATTTTCTATTAACAACTTTATATATATATATATAATTACATCAATAAAAGTGTTTCTGTTATCTAATGTGTTTAACAATAACAATAGTAACAGTTAAACAATTTTTTTGTATATGATTTTATCGTTTAATATTTAAATGATAAGTGTATAACCAATTAAAAAAGTGGTTATTTCAAGGACTATACTACTATAATAATAATAACAAACAATTATTTTGTACGCCCTTGACTGTGATGTCGAGTACAAAGTATATATCATATATATATTTTTTAAACAAAAATTATCAAGCTAATTTTATATTCAACAAAATTCAATATATATACAGTATAGAGATTTCCTTAAATGTTTACAACAATTTTACAGTTAATTTATTTGAATTAGTTAAATTTATTTATTTAGTTAATAGAAAAAAAATTAGTTAATTTTGTTTACATAAATAAAATATTAAATAACTATAATATCATAATTTTGATGACTTTAAATTAGTATTTTTCAATAACAAATATATGTTTATGTTTAGTTTATCATGGGTACAGGTACATTGGGATCATAATGACCTTGAATATACCATTTATAATTATATAATGCTTAGTTGTTTATTTTATTTAATGTATATTTGATTGACTTAATATGAGACTATATCAGGACTCTCCCGACTAATTGTTTATTTTTTTTTTTGAATATCTAGTTAACCATAATTTAAATATAATAAAAGTGACCAATGTCAAAGTTATAGACAATTTTATACAATTTATATCAATATACAGTATATTAAATTGATTATTTTATAATATTTAAATTGTACGATTTATTTTCAGTTATTTATCAGTATTAAATAAAAAAATTGTTTTTATTAATAAATATTTTTTTTTTAAATATATATAATTTAAAAAAATCAATTTCTGTGTTCAATACCGACAAACTTGTCGCCAGTATTCAATAAAAACTCAAATTTCTTGGGTTTCAACGGAATAGTAGTGTTCGGTGTTTTCACAAACTTGTATTTTGTGATCAGGTATGCAACGGCTGTCTTTGTCTCCATCAATGCAAACCTCATTCCCACACAATTTCTGGGACCCAAACCAAACGGCATATAAGTATAGGGAACTAACTTATGCCGATTGTAGGGCATAAACCGTTCGGGATTCCAACGATCGGGATCGGGATAGTATTCGGGATTATTATGTAAAGTTTGAATATCAAAATTAACGAGCATTCCTTTGGGAATTGTTAGTCCGGTATCGCCTAAAATAAATATAATAACATTTATTTAATACAACTTATATTATTATAATCTGGATCTGGTATTACATACCTATAGTATACTCATCGGCAGCAATACGAGCGGTTGCTGTAAGCGGACTATACAGACGTAATGTTTCGGCGACACAGGACTCCAGATATGTCATTCGGGCGATACTTTCGTAGTCATACTTACCATCAAATTGTTTGGTCACTTCATCGTAGAGTTTTTGCTGACAATCCTGATTGACGGCCAACGAATAAAACAGATGAGCCAATGTTGTGGCCGTTGTCTCATAACCGGCCACAAAGAAAACAAAACTAGTGGCCAACACATCCCAATCGGTTATCTCTCCTCTAAGATCTTTGTATTTCAAACTGCTGTCTGTTGAACCAAATATCACCCGATCTAAGTCATCCACTTCTTGGTCATCAATGGTATCCATTAATGTTTTGTTTTGTGCGTTAATCATGAGTTGTATATAATCTTTATATATCTTTGAATTTCCTTCGACTTTACGTCTGGAGACAATTGACTGAATCTATTATTTCAAAAAAATAATTTTTACTTAAAAATATCTCAACATTTTTATTGTTATTTATAGTATATTTGTACTAATGATACTATTTTTTGTTTGTTTGTTTTTAACAAATTTTTATAATCTAATTATAAAAAAAACTTACAGCTGTTTTGAAAAAGTTTTCAGCACCGGGATCCAGAAACTTGATACCAAACCAATTGGCCAATCGTTTCGATATCAACAACAATATCAGTGTAAACCAAACCCGCCAATTGCCGCGAAAAACTTTTTGTGCGTGTATTACAAAATCGCTAGTTTTTTCGGCGTATGTATCGATTCGGGTACCGAAAGCACAGGTAGCTATGACATCCATTGTCAGATTACCCATTGTTTTCTGCATCTCAACCACTGTTTTGTCCGATAAGTGTTTGTCTAGACGTGCGATACAATCGATGATAAGCGGATGCATTGAACGCATTTTACCCGACGAAAAGGTCGGGGATATCTATTTAAAAAAAATCAAATAACAATTAAATTAAATTTTTTAAAATAAAAAATAGTTATTAGTTTTGGTTATATTTTATGTATAATTAAATTACAATTGATCTGATTTTCTTCCACTCGTCGCCTTTTAAGTTAAACATTGATCGGTCGTTCATAGGATCACCTGTTATGAGATCGTTTCGGTCGACAAACATATGAAAGTCTCTAATATTCATCTGTTTTATCAGATCGGGATCGGCTACCGTCAGCACCGGGCGATTGACCATAAATACACTAATTATTTATAATATTATATACAAATTGATCTGTTAGTAATGTTTTCTGTTATTTTTTTTAAATAATAATTTAAGCTCTTAACAAGCAAACAAACAAAAAAAAACTTAAATAAATAAATTTTTTAGATAATACTAACCCATATATTTTTCCATATTTTTTATAATTATCCAAATTTATTTCACCAATTGGTTTGTAAAATATTTGCCACAATGTACCCAAACCGGGTACTGGTTTCGGGCCATTGATTCCCCGAGACGTCCAGTAGTTGAAGTTACGGGTCAGATAACTAATCAAAAAAAATATTAGTTTTTTTATAATTAATAATAAACTTACAAATAAAGTGATATCAAAATAGTAGCAAAAATTATTATTGAATTCAAACTAAACAGTATCGAGAAAATCATTTTATTTTTTTAAAAACTTAATTATTAATAAAATTTTCTAAATTCATTATTAGCTATTATTTTATATCTTTTATACAATAGTTGTTAGAAATTTATGTAGTTTTTTGATAATTACATTTACGTAAATAACTAATTTTTGTGTATATATACTGTATATACTTTATGAACTAATCGTTCAAAATTCAAATGATTAGTTTATAACAAGAAAAAGTTGTTATTTCAAGGACTATAATAATAATAATAATAATAACAAATAATAATTTGATAATAATTATTAAATATTATTGCAAGCTATTGACTGGTATGTCGAGTACACATATGTTTACAAATAATAAATAAATCTATCTAGCTAATTTTATATATAAATATTTATAATAAAGATTTTCTAAATGTTTGACTAAAATTAGTTTTTAAATAAACAATATCAGAAAATAATTAATTAAATTATTCAATCTAGATGATTTAGACAATTTTACTATTTATGTATTTGCAATTACATTGTTTAATAAACAAACAAGTTTATTTAGTTTATTATCAGGGTACATTGGGATCATTACGTCCTTCAAATATAACATTGTAATTATAATGGGAGTTATCTATAATATTATGTTATATATATATATATATATATATTAAACCATTATATAATATTTATATAAATTTATACAATATTACAGTAGATTAATTATAATGGATAAACTTTAAACAATAAACATCATCTTTAAAAATTAATTTACTATTATATTATATAAAAGTATAATAATTAAAAAATAAAATAAAAAATAATCTTTAACTAATGGTAAATTATTATGAAATGATATAATTTATTTTTTAAAAAATTACAATTATTTATTATAGATAATATTTAATTTATTAATTAGAAAATAATTCTGTAACAAAATATAATTAATTTTAAATCATAAAAATACTATAATAATTATTGTTTAATATAATTTGCAAACATACTATTAATTTAAAAGTTATTCATATTTATATATTGTAGTTATAATACAAATATTGTAAAGTGATAGATATAAGTGATAAAATTAAAAAAAAACATTTAGTAAATACTGTGCATTTTAAAAAAATATATTTGATATAAAATACAAAATATATTTTATATAACTATTATAATAAAATCGTTATACTGTAATAATCTAAATAAATTACAATAATATCAACAAAAAAAATATTAAAATAAAATACATTTATATTTTTTGAATTATCATAATGATGCACTTGTATAGTACATTAAATTAACAAATATATTAACTAGTACAATTATACTAATTTTAGAAAAAAAACATATTTTTCATCATTTAAATAATTTGATGAATTTTTATTTAAAATAACTAATATCTATATTATCTCTATTATTTGATTTATTATTATTGGTATAATTATAATTACTATTAGTAACCAGTAATCAAAGGGTATGTCACCCGTGATGTCCATACATTTGTCTTTAAATAATGACTACGCGATGCTGGCCTCCGATTACTGGTTGATCTACTAGTGGTTTGCAATTTACGGACAGTCGGTGTCTTCAAACGATTAGTTACATTTAAATTGTAATTATTTTGTCGATAAAACCAATGATATTTGTTTTGAATGAAAACAGCAAAATTTGATAAACATTTTGTTAGCATTATAAATGAAAAGCCAAACCATAGGTTAACATAACTGCCAATATAGGAGAGAAACTCTTCAACCAATATCTTTGCCGAATGAGTGTAGACAAGATCGGGTACTACCGGTGCCAGTACTGGCACATACATGCCATCGACATCAAAATCTTTGTGCAATATATGTATGCGATAGTACTCTTGTGTACACTCGGAATGTAGGCCACACTTTTGGCGACAATTTTCGCCCATCATTTGATCCAATGAAAAATTTTTCATAAATTCATTGATTAAATCATGAATGATCTCATCGGATGTCTGATTGTAGGTCAGATAATTACCCGGCCATACACCGGGAAACAGTCGATGGGCTTCATCGATACGACAGTAGTCGATACACTGGCTCCTGGACTCATATCCCTGATCCTTGTAATCATAGCAATCCGTTTCGTACGGCAGTTTCAACGACTGGACAATAGTCCGTTCGTAAGTAATATGGCGGACAAAAGTCCGATTACGACTTATCCTCTGAAACGATATGTCAGTGAATTCGTGTCGCAAATAGTTCATCATTAGCTGTCGTCTCGGATGGGCTATCAATGTAATGGTCGACCCTTTGAAATGGTCTTTAAGTTTGATATAAAACAAACTCTGTGCCAAATCATTGAATGCCATATCGTTGTCGACAATAAATTGTTTGTCATTTATGGTCTGATTTGGTGACTGAGAAAATAGTGTAAAACATGATCTATAGAAAAAAAAATTATTATTTAATAATAGTTACAATTAGCAAATAATTTTAACCCCTCCCCCGCTAACCGTGAGAAGTCAATTGATTGTCTAATTTTTGAGATCTGATGACAATCGACACGATTTAGCTGAGTATTATGATATGAATTTGTTGTATTATTATTATTAATAATTGTGTTTATTAATTGTTGCGGTTTATAGATATTACAATTGTCGACAATATCTGACCAGTTTTGCAACAATTGAAACTGTTGTCTGATTGTTAGATTAATAAATAGTTGATCCAATTTTTCATTATAATCATTAGATTGTTTTTGGTTACCATTATTTGAAACATTTGTCAAATATTGTTGTCTCAATAGATCTCGTTTATGAAAACATATGGTAAATGCCGGCAACGATATCTCCTCAATGTTGTCGTAGTCGACAAATGTTGTAGTTTTATATGAAAAATATATTTGACATATTTGTATGGTTTCATACAAACACATTGATAGACAAATTAAATAAAATGTGAAACGATATAGTGTTGCAAATTTCAATAGTTTTCTATTGATAATTGTTTTTTTCATTGTTATTGTTATAAAAAGTTATTGAAAATAATAGCAAATTATGAATTAAACAAATTATTACAACTTAGAGTTAATAGTGAAAAATTAATAAACAAAAAACAATAGATATACAATCTATTTAAATAATTAATTAATAAATTTTTTTAATAAAATTTTTTAATAAATTTATTTCATACTAATTGAACTAACTTGTATTGAACACTGTATACACACAATATTAAATTCATATATATTTTTTAATAGACAGTATACTAAATTTTAATAATAATATTAGTATTATAAAATATATTTCCATACAATATTAATTAAGTGTATATCAATAATTGAAATGATATATAACTTAGTTAGCAATCTTTCATATAAAATCAAATATTTTATTTTTGTATAATTAAAATTGATTTTACCCTGTATAATTTTTAGTATATGTATCGCACGATTTAGTAATAGTTAATACTTTTATATTTTATTTAGTGTACAATGTACTAAAATATATATATATATATATATTAGTACATTGTATATATTATATACTGCATATATAATAATAGTATATAAATAAGATATTATTCATAAAGACAAATATTATAAACTATAATATATTTGTTTTGTTATTAATAGTACATTCAATAATATTTATAACTTATTTGAGTGCAATGTATGGGAATATCATATTAAAGTTATTCAAAATTAATCTAAATATATAATACATTTGTAATTTAGGCAAACTTTGTAAAAATATAGTATTAATAATAATAATAATTTTTTATATTAATTAAGATTTAATGCAAAGTGGGCTAACCTTGATTATACATTTTGTTTATTTGTAAATTAAAATCTATTGATCGATTGATCGATTGATATTGATATTGAATTTTATTATTTATTTATGGTAATAATAATATTAATAATATATTCATAAATTATTAATTATATTGTGTTTATAAACATATATATTGTATAACATGATTAAAATAAATACAATATAAAATCTATCGTTGTTTAAATAAATTATAAAAATTATTGAAAAAATTAACATATGAATTTTATTAATAAATAACTGATATAGATATTGTCTATTATTTTATTTATTTATATATTATTATATTAATATTATATATTATATAATAATATTATTATTAGTATTAGTAACCAGTAATCAAAGGGTATGTCACCCGTGATGTCCATACATTTGTCTTTAAATAATGACTACGCGATGTTGGCCTCCGATTACTGGTTGATCTACTAGTGATTTGCAATTTACGGACAGTCGGTGTCTTCAAACGATTAGTTATATTTAAATTGTAATTATTTTTCTGATAACACCAATGATATTTGTTTTGAATGAAAACAGCAAAATTTGATAAATATTTTGTTAGCATTATAAATGAAAAGCCAAACCATAGGTTAACATAACTGCCAATATAGGAGAGAAACTCTTCAAACAATATTTTTGCCAAATGAGTGTAGACAAGATCGGGTACTACCGGTGCCAGTACTGGCACATACATGCCATCGACATCAAAATCTTTGTGCAATATATGTATGCGATAGTACTCTTGTGTACACTCGGAATGTAGGCCACACTTTTGGCGACAATTTTCGCCCATTATTTGATCCAATGAAAAATTATTGTAATAATAGTGGAATAAATCGTGAATGATCTCATCGGATGTCTGATTGTAGGTCAGATAATTACCCGGCCATACACCGGGAAACAGTCGACGGGATTCATCGATACGACAGTAGTCGATACACTGGCTCCTGGACTCATATCCCTGATCCTTGTAATCATAGCAATCCGTTTCGTACGGCAGTTTCAACGACTGGACAATAGTCCGTTCGTAAGTAATATAGCGGACAAACGTCCGACGATTATGGGCTGACCTCTCAAATGATATATCAGTGAATTCGTTCCGAAAATAGTTCATCAGTTGCTGACGTCTCGGATGAGCTATCAATGTAATGGCCGACCCTTTAAACTGGTCTTTAAGTTTGATAAGAAACAAACTTTGTGTTAAATCATTGAATGCCATATCGTTGTCAACAATAAATTGTTTGTCGTCTGTAGTCTGATTTGATGACTGAGAAAACAGTGTAAAACATGATCTAATGAAAAAAAAAATTTAATAAATTTAAATTATTACAATAAAGTTACAAAATTCAATAGTTATTAATTATAAATTATTAGCAAATTTTAACCCCCAGTCCCCCTTTTTTCCTCCCTAACCGTGTAAAGTCCATTGATTGTCTAATTTTTGATATTTGGTGACATTGGATATGATTTGGTAAAGTATTATTATTATTATTATTAAATGAATCGGATATATAATTGATAATTAATTGTTGCGGTTTATAGATATTACAATTGTCGACAATATCTGACCAGTTTTGCAACAATTGAAACTGTTGTCTGATTGTTAAATTAATAAATAGTTGATCCAATTTTTTATTATAATCATTAGATTGTTTTTGGTTACCATTATTTGAAACATTTGTCAAATATTGTTGTCTCAATAGATCTCGTTTATGAAAACATATGGTAAATGCCGGCAACGATATCTCCTCAATGTTGTCGTAGTCGACAAATGTTGTTGTTTTATATGAAAAATATATTTGACATATTTGTATGGTTTCATACAAACACATTGATAGACAAATCAAATAAAATGTGAAACGATATAGTGTTGCAAATTTCAATAGTTTTCTATTGATAATTGTTTTTATCATTTTTTTTGTTATTGTTATAATAGTTATAGAAACTAATAGCAAATAATTTTTAAAAATAACAATTATATAATAATAATCATAATTGAAAAATTAACAAAAAAACAATAGATACAAAAAAAATATGTTTTAATTATTATATTTTATACTTTTTTATAAATGACATTTTTTATTAATTGAATTAAATTGTATAACAGTGTACACACACACACACATAATATTAAATTCATATATTTTTTATAAAACAGTATATAAATTTCAATAATAATAATATTAGTATTAGTATTATAAAGTATATTTCCATACAATAATAATTAAGTGTCTAATAGAAATGATTTATATATTAGTTAGCAATCTTTCTTAGAAAATCTAATATAAATTATTTTTGTATAATTAAAATTGATTTTACCTTGTATAATTTTCAGTATATGTATCTAGTATTTTAAATATTTTTATATTTTATTTAGTGAATAATGTACTAAAAAATATATATAATAATGATATACCGTACTGTATATATTTTTTTATATATATAAAATATATTATTCATAAAAACAAATATTATAAATTATACTATTTGTTTGTTGTTAATAATACAATAATAATAATAATAATAATATTGCGTAACTTATTGAGTGTAATGTATGTAAATATCATCATATGACAAGTTATTCAAAATTAATCTAAATATATAATACATTAAATGTAATCTAGGCTAACTTAATAAAAATACAGTAATAATAAAAATAATTTTTATATTAATTAAAGTTTCATGCATAGTGATTATACCTTGATTATACATTTTATTTATTTGTAAATTTAAATCGATGGATGAGTACTAATTGAATTTTATGATTTATTTATGGTAATAATAATAATAATATATTAATAAATTATTAATTATACTGTATTTATTGTTTAACTACATTAAAATAAATACTATATATATATATATAAATTATCTTTGTTTAAATCAAATAAAAAAATTAATTGCAAAAATTAGTATTAATTGATTAATATATCTTAACAACTAACATACTATTCTGTTTTATTTAACAAAAAAATTATTTAATAGTAATACAATTTTTATTTATCACTCATTATGATAACATTATGATCATATTATATAATTTTTGTACAGTATATTCACTTTTTTTTATTAGTTCACCATAAAAATTATAACTTATCTTATAAACTGATGTAATAATAGTTGCAATAAATTCAATAATAAAGTGCAGACTGCACTGTATGTGTAGTATTATATTATCATATTAGTAGACATATAAACCTTAGGGTTTTACAGGGGGTTTTGATTTACAACTATTGATTTATTTAATATTCAATATTATTTTTGTCTTTAGTAACCCATTTCATATATTAGTTAAATTATATTATATAAAAATTATATATAAGTTAAATTATTAAATTAAATTATTATAAAAAACAAATTTCTAACTAATAATAATACCATTTTTTTGTTAGCTAAAAATATTATCCAGGTCTAATTAGTCTAATTACTAACCCCCTCCCTGTTTTATCAATAAATAAACATTGAGTTCATATCAATCAATTTGATAAAAGTTTTTTTTATATAGATATTTTCAATTTAATTTATCAAAACTATTGCCTAATATTTTTTGTAGTTGTTTTGCTATAAATACGAATAGAAGATCTGAATATTTTTCAAAAATAATTGATAAATAGTTTTCTAAAAAATTCAAAATATATTTTTTAAAAACTTTAAGTTATATTTCCGATAGTAATAATGGGTTTGTTATCATTGGGTGAACCACTCAATCATTTGGAGACCAAGAAATATGCAGAACATGTGCGACGACACGGAATCAAACAGTTTATTAATATCTATAATAAAAACAAGAATCGTATCGACCGGTGCTTCAAATGGGGCGATGAGATCGAGTATATGGTCGTCAAGTTTGACCATAAATACAAAAAGTCAAGACTAGTGTTAAGAACTGATCAATTGTTGGCTGCAATGTCTGAAAGAGAGAAACGGGAAGGCAGTGGTCGACAGGTTTTATGGACACCTGAATACGGATCGTATATGATTGAGGCCACACCTGGACAACCGTACGGCCAACTAAATACCGAAAACAATGATAACAATACTAATGCAAGTGATACGACCAATAGGATGTCCCATTTGTTTAACAATGTTGAGGAAAATATGAAACTTAGGCGCCGGGAGATGCGACAGTTGCTCAATGAGGACGAAAAATTGATGTGCATTACAAGTTATCCCCGGTACTAGTACACCCACATAATTTATAATACATACATAATTAATGTTTTTTATATATAGATTGGGTTATCCGGATTCTTCCTATCCATACTATCCACCCGATCCACTGAATAGTACAACTAGAAGTATATTTGTATCGGATATGTTAACTAATCAGATGCACCCGCGATATATAACAACCGGTAGAAACATACGGGAACGTCGCGGTAGTAAAGTTATCAGTAATGTCCCGATATTTAAGGACAAGTATACTCCCGATCCGTTTATCGAAATGTTTGACGACCCGGAGTCGAATAGGGCTGCAAAAGTTGATCATATTTTTATGGATGCCTCGCTGTTTGGATCGGGATGTTGTTGTTTGCAGGTTAGGTCGTATTAGTTCTTAAATTATATACAGTATATTAGTCTTAATTAAAAAAAATAGGTAACACTTCAAGCAACTAATATGGACGAAGCCATGTTATTATACGATCAATTGGCACCCATGACACCCGTAATGCTGGCATTGAGCGCATCGGCGCCTATATTTCGGGGCTATCTTATCGATAGAGACTGTCGTTACGATATAATATGCGACGTCAAAGACGATCGTACGGCTGAAGAATCGGGCGAAAGACCATTGAAGACGACAAATGAGTACAGAATATATAAATCTCGTTATTCTACTATTAATACATATCTGAGCGATGAAAATGGCAAATATAATGACAACCGAATAGTTTATAACCAAAAATATTACAATGAAATGATTGAATCGGGCGTTTGTCCACTACTAGCCCAACACATTGCTTATGTATTTCTAAGAGATCCGACAATAGTCTATAGAGAACTATTGAATCAAAACTTAGATACAGATACCGATCATTTTGAAAATATTCAGTCAACTAATTGGCAATCATTGCGATTCAAACCGCCGCCACTATCCCAGCCATCGATCGGCTGGAGAGTAGAGTTTCGGCCGATGGAAATACAAATGACTGACTTTGAAAATGCCGCTTACAGTGTGTTTGTTATATTGATGACCAGGGTCATATTGCACTATCATCTCAATCTGGTCATACCTATATCTAAGGTATAGTGTAATATACAGATATATATATATAAATTATTTGTTTGTTTTATTTTTGGTGTGCATTTATAAAACTAATGTTAAATTTTAATTTTATTTAATCACTATTTTTTATACTATATATATATATAGATTGACGAAAATATGACAATTGCACAGAAAAGAGATTCAATTAATAGATGCAAATTGTGGTTCAGAAAAGATATTTTCAGTAAAACTGATATCAAAAATACTAATAATAATAATAATAACGAAGAGTATATTCAAATGTCTTTAAATGAGATAATCAATGGTTACGCAAATGTTTTTCCCGGTTTAGTGCCGTTAATGCGTGAATATATCGATAGTATAGACTTGGATGTCCAAACCTATCAAAAAATTCAACAATATATTCAATTGATTAGCGACAGAGCTAGTGGTCGACTCAAGACAACTGCCCAATGGATCCGAGATTTTGTCCGCAAACACAATGACTACAAACAGGATTCAGTGATTACCGAAACAATTACTTACGACTTATTGATGGCTATGAATGACATTCAAAACAATGATTTATCGACTGAAGAAGTTATTAAAACTTATATTTTTTAAAGACAAACATTAAATTAATTTATATTTTATATTTATTGAAATAAAATTATTTAGTCGTATCTTAAAAAATAATTAAATTAAACAAAATTAAGTCCAATATTTAAAAAAGTTTGATTAGTTTAATACGATTAATAAAATTGAATGCATATAAAAAAATTTTAATTTAAATAACTTTTTCTTATTAAAAATAATAAAACATTTAACAACAACAACAAAAAAATAATAATAATAAATATATTTTTTTTTATAATTTTTTATGTTTCAATTCATTGAAGATTTTTGGCGGTGATCTCGGCGACGGCTTATTAATATCGGTCATTGTTTCCTCGGATATTGTATCCAATTTGAGATACCAATCGGTATTGAATTTACCGACTTTTCGTTTAATATTACTGGGAACTCCTTCCCGTTTTTCCGGTTTGATTTCATCCTTTATAGATAACATAACAAAAAAAACAAAACTAATAACTAAAAAAAAAACCATAAAAATCTAATTTGTGTGACCACTAGACTACTGACCACTTGTTTGCCGCCTCTGCCGCCGCCGCCCCCAGATTTGGATCTAATTGCGATAAAACTGGCCACCAATATAACCAACAAAATTACCAAAATTATTGCACCGATCAATACATATATTATAGTAGTACTACTATTTTCATTATCATTTTGATTGTCGTCGTCATTGTTAAACGATCCGTACGGTTGTGACTGATTGTTGTCTACCGGCAATACAGTGGTACCTAACGCTGACGGCCAAATTACTGGACAATTGGTGGCATATTGTTGTAGTGTTTCCAGTCGACACTAAAAAAACCGAGTTGAATAAATAATTATTATCAATAATTTTTTTCAATAAAATACAGTACTTATATCCACMCCCACMCCCCCCCCCACAAAAAAACACATTTTACCGGTATATTTCTACGCTTACGTCCACTAGCGGCAGGAATACTACAATACATGGGCTTAGACTCGATATTAAAGGTCACGATATGTCCCGTTTTGTTGGCACCTAAATCATAGTCGACAATACCATTGATATGTTTCCAGAGATCGTCGCCAATGTCCGTAATGAACGACGGTTTCCGACAGCCGTACGCTTTGCACATATCGTATGTCATGAGTTTTGTTGTCTTAATATTATTGCTGTTTGAATAGTAAAACGATATATTACGCGACTTTCGGTCCACAACTATCACATGGTTTTTGTTGCCGTCGCCGTCACCGCTGCCGCCAATTGGATTAAATACAATGGCATCGCCGGGAAACTCGTCGGCACTTTCCAGTGTAATCATCGGTCTATTGGGATCGCCGGACAGGGAATTGTAGTCACAACAGCACTCAATTTGAACATTTAGTTTGCTTATAGACTATACATATAATTGTTGAAATAATTAGTAGGTATATAAGCTATATAAGTGGTATTACCTGATAGTAGACATTACAGATATGCTCGGAGTTTTGGGTGACCGCTGGCAGCGAATACTTGTTGATCATATTTTTGTCAATTTCGCGGACACTGTCGCTGTCGATATAGATGACGGGTTTATCGTCGGCGTCGACAAACATAAACATCCACTCGTATCCCGATTTGTACATCATATATGTGGACATCATTTTGGTCACATTGTCGTTGTTGTTGTGGTTTGACGGCCGTGTCCATCGATGGTATAGTTGAACACCGTCAAACTTGCCGTTTGGTGCCAACAATTTACATACAGCACCGCCATCGGTGTAATCATTATTATTTTGTCTATTTTGAGGCCGCCTAACTTTGCCACGGATCAGACAAATGTATAAAATTATGATAATTATTGGATACTTCATACTATATATATTTGTCAGCAAATACTACTATATTTAAAAAAAATCAATTTTTGTTTTAAATTTATTTTTCACTCTAATAATTGTTGTGAATCTCATGAGTGTCATATAAAGTATATATATATATATATATACAGGTATTATATATATCGGTATTAAATACAATAACTTTTTTGAATTGTTATCACAATATAATTGTTTTGTTTGTTTTTTTTTGAGGTCACGCGCGTCATATATATATATATATTCAACAATATATATGTAAATTCAAAAACTATTAATAATTATTATCATTGAATTCACGCGATTATTAAAAAAAAATTGTTTTTAAATTCTGTATTATTATTATTATTACTACTATTTCTGTATGAAATAATTAACATTTGATTTGTCGGTTGATTTTAATCAAACGGTTTTCTTTTAAACTTTTTTTTTCTCTCTCTCTCTCGAAAAGTCTTCATTTAAAAAAATAACTATCATTTGGTCATCTATTGGTGGTAACAATTATTATCCATCAATTATTATACAATATTACAGTGAATCAGTTAAGACATGAATCAGGATTTGTCTCTAAGCGGCGGCGGCGGCGGCGGCGGTGCTGTTGTCAAATGTGATGGACAGACAATGACGTCGTCATCGAGTCGTCTGGTGGTCAGTGATAACGGTTCGGGCGATACCGACAACTGGTCGTACAGTCGTCTGTTCGACGACACCATCGACTACAATAACTTGAGTACTAAACAGTGGATAAAATTGGCCAACAGTTTGATCGACGATAATGTCTGGCAACGTATGGACGAAGAACAGCGCCAAAGAGTTCACCGAAAGATGATTGAACTGCGAAATGAAGATCTGGACCGAAAGCTGGCGGCATTGGATGAACTGATTGCCGCTAAAGACGACTTCGATGGCCAACTCAAAGCCATACCGCAAGAGATACGCAAACCACGGGTTCACGTCCGCGACATCTTAAAGCTGAAGACATTGAACACGAAATTAGGTTACACTGAACTCCAAGGAGACAACCATTGCGACGATGTCTACATGTCGTACGGCCAGTCGATGAACACTGTTTACGGCAAACCGGTTACCTCAGCCAATCCGCACGCTTCTTGTCCGCCGATGTCGCCACCGTTGACCACTTACTGTAACTCTTGTGCCACTAATCTGTTTTTGACCGCCGAAGCCATCAAACGTATGACCGTTTTCTGTGGCAAATGTAGTTCAGCAAAGTTTGGCGGATATTTTGAATGCCATTCGTGTCGACTCTACGGCTATTACGCCAAAAGTGAAATCAATACCCATTTGGCCCAACACTTCCCGAAATATAACAAACATTAACCACACTTTATATTAATTAATTAATTTATTTATGTTATTAATTATTATAATAATTATTAATTAGTTTATTTACGTTTTGTTTGATTACATACAATATATGTGTTTATATTTCTATAAATATTTTTTGTTAATTTTTACTAAATTTTTGTTTCCATATACTATTCAATTATATTTTTTTCAGGTTTTTAGCATTTTTCTCATATTATAATAACTCATTTGATTAAATGTACAATTGTTTTGAATTATTTTATTGATATTTTTTGAATAATAATAATTCATAAAATACATTCAAATCTTTTCAATTTTTTTTTTGCTAATAATACTAAAAATAAAATTATATATTATTTGCGATAAATTACTAATCATTTTACAATAGAATTTATTATTATTATTATTATTATTATTAAGCAATGAAACAACATTTAATGTTATCAAAAGTATTTTTTTAAAAATTAAAATAATTATGAAAAACAAATAATAAACGAATTGTAAATTACAAATGTATTAAAAAAATATTATTATAAAAACAAATATTAATTATTAGTTTAATTTCTGGATTCAATACCAAGATATGTATCACCGGTTGTTAAAACAATTTCAAATTTTTTCGCTATCAACGACTCATCTGTTTTGTCTGTCCTCACAAATCGATATTTATTGACCAAATAGGCTACGGCTGTCTTTATCTCCATCAATGCAAACCTCATTCCCACACAATTTCTGGGACCCAAACCAAACGGCATATAAGTATAGGGAACTAACTTATCCCGATTGTAGGGCATAAACCGTTCGGGATTCCAACGATCGGGTTCGGGATAGTAGTCGGGATTGTAATGTACACTTTGTATATCAAAATTGACCATCGATCCTTTTGGTAAAGTTATACCGGTGTCACCTAAATATATATAATTATTAAAAAAAAATTACTATAATTTTTTTCAAAATAAAATATTTACTATAATTTACAAACCAATTGTATAGTCTTGAGAGGCTATACGACTCGATGCCGAAAGAGTGGTATAGACTCGCAATGTTTCGGCCACACAGGCCTCCAGATATGGCATTTGGGCAATGATTTCGTAGTCATACTGACCGTCAAATTTTTTCACTTCATCGTACAGTTTTTGCTGACAGTCCTGATTGATGGCCAACGAGTGTAGCACATGAGCCAGTGCTGCGGCAGTTGTCTCATAGCCGGCCACAAAAAATATGAACGCTGTGGCCAACAGATCCGTATCGGTCATATCTCGGCCTAATTTGGTATTGTTTTTAATGATGGACACGGTCTCCGAGTTGCCGAAAATTTCTCCGTTCAGATCAGCAGACACTTCTCGATCTTCAGCATTGGTATCACCAGAAGACTTGTTGGTCGCATTGATCATCAATTGGATGTAATCATTGTATTTGCCATTGCTTTCAGATTTTCGTTTAGTGATAATTGTGTTAATCTTTGAAAATAATAAATTTGTTTCATAACAGATAAGATATATTTATTTTTAAAATTATTAATATTATTATTATTATTGAAGATTACTTACAACTGTACTGAAAAATTCAAGTGCTTTGGGATCAAAAAATCTTATTCCCGTCCATTTCAACAGTTTCGGGAAAGTCGAGGCCAACAATATGCTGATCCATACCCTCCAAGTGCCGCGAAATATCTTCTGAGCGTATTTGGAAAAGTCGTTGCTTTTCAGGTCATCGTAGGTATCGATTTTGGTCCCAAAAGCGCACGAAGCGATCACATCCATAGTCAGACTTCCCATTGCTTTCTTCATTTCAACCTCTTTCTTGTCCGACAAATATTTGTCCAAACGTTTGATACAATCAATAATAATCGGATGCATTGAACGCATTTTGCCCGATGAAAATGTTGGTGTAATCTTAAAAAAATAATTAATTACTTAATTAATTGACTGATATTTATTAGTTCATCAAATATTATCATCAAATTTTTTTTTGATGATCAACTCGATCGACCCATACATACAATTGATCTCATTTTCTTCCAGTCGTCGCCTTTCAGCGATAACATTGTCCGATCGCTCAGTTCATCGCCAGTACGGAAGTCGTTTCTGTCGACAAACAGATGAAAGTCGCGTATATTCATGTCTTTGATTAGTTGGGGATCGGCTACCATAAGCACCGGACGATTGCCAGTATAAACTCTATATTAAAAAAAATTATTATTAATGAGTTAACGGTATTTTTGTATTTAAATTTAAAAAAAAATTAATTACCCATAAATTTTGCCAAATTTTTTGAAATTATCCAGATTAATTTGACCCAATGGCTTGAAAAACAATTGCCACATTGTGCCAAAAATGGGTAACGGTTTCGGTCCATTTAAACCCCGTTTTGACCAGTAATTGAAATTTCTGGTCAAATATCTAATATAATAATTAATATTAATATTATTATTTTTTAATTTTGTATTTTATTTATTATTATTATTAAGTATATTATAATTTTGAATAATATTTATAAATAAAAGTATAATTTAAATAATATTTACAAATATAAAGTTCCTAATAATGTTAGACATATTACTAGTGAATTGACACTAATTAAGTCTATGAATAACATGTTTATCATTAGTTTTTTTTAAACTAATAAATTGTTAAAAATAAAACTAAATGTTTTTACATAAATTAATGATTTTAATAAAAATAATAACAATTTTTCAGCCAACTATTTTGTTTATATACCAATTAGTCGTAATTACAGTAAATACTATCTCTTTTAGTACATTAGGTTATATTTATGTACTTATTATAATTATTATAACCTCAGTTTAAATTTTATCAAAACATATGCAAAATTATAATAATATTACATAAGATAAATATTGATAGATTATTATGTCTAATATATTTCCATATATATATATATATATATATACAGTTCATGCCATAAGTTTTGAATAAAGTTAAAATTAACTAAATTAAATTAAATAACAATTAGAATTAAATATTTACATATTTTTATTTATTTAATTCACATATTTAATATAATTATTTTATAATTTACAAGTTCAGTATATACAGTAAATAACATTTTTTTATTAATAAATACAATATTTTATTTTACATTTACATTGTTTTTATATCAAACTTGTATAGAGTGTAATAATATTAGTTAATTAAAGATACGGGTACAAATTATTAAAAATATATATATTATTTATTTTTTAATTACAGTATTAGTACAGTTAATACTGTACTTAAAAACTATTTATTTTATAACAAATTTACAATTTATGATTAAGTAATAGAAGTATTATATTTTATTTAGTACTGTATAATAGTTTACAATTATCTTATGTTTAAAATAAAAGTTATTATGTGTATAAATATGAAATTTAATTGCTGAACAATTTTATAAAAATTTAAAACTTATATATTTGTAATGTATATTTATATAATTTAAATATTAATTTATAATTTAATAATATAAAAAATACATGTATAATAATTTATTTTATGATTTATTTATGTTTATAATTAATTATAACAAAATTATTTTCTTAGTTCAACGCCTACAAAGACATCGCCGGTATTGTAAAGAAACTCAAATTTTGTCTGAATTAGAGGAACTGTAGTTTTCGGGGTTCGTATAAACTTAAATCTATTGACCAAATAGGCGACTGCGGTCTTGGCCTCCATCAATGCAAACCTCATTCCCACACAATTTCTGGGACCCAAACCAAACGGCATATAAGTATAGGGAACTAACTTATCCCGATTGTAGGGCATAAACCGTTCGGGATTCCAACGATCGGGATTAGGATAGTATTCAGGATTTCGGTGCATAGTTTGTATGGAAAAGTTGACTAACATTCCTTTAGGTACTGTTATACCGATGTCACCTAATTTGATGCCAAAAAATAACCGGTTTTAAAATAATAATAATAATTGCTTTTATTTTTCTAAATTATTAGACAAACCTATAGTATAGTCTTGAGCTGCAATTCTTCCGAAAGCAGACACAGGATTATGAAGACGTAAAGTCTCGGCGACACAGGCCTCCAGATATGGCATTTGAGCTATACTTTCGTAATCATACTTACCATCAAATTTTCTTAACTCTTCGTACAGTTTTTGCTGACAGTCCGCGTGTAACGCAAGATTGTAGATCAAGTATGTGATCAAAGATGCAGTTGTCTCATAACCGGCAACAAAAAACAGAAACGAAGTGGACAGTATGTCGTCGTCATCAATGTCTACCCTATCTTTGATTGTCGCCTCCAATGTATCAGTTCTGCCGTATATCTCATCGCTGGTATCGCCGACCACTGGTTCGTCACTATTATTATTATCTGATCTTTTGTTTTGTGCGTCAATCATAAGCTGAAGATAATCGCGTCGTTTGCCACTCTTGTCGTTCTTCCTTTGATTGACAATAGATTTTATCTGATTTTTTTGTTTATTTGAAAACAATAATATTTAAATCAAATAAAAATCATTTTTTTTAAAATTTTTTTTGTTATTTCTATACTTACAGCTGACTTGAAAAAATATTGAACTCCCGGATCCTGTATCTGAAACCCTGACCAACGTAATAGCTTAGGAAAGGTAGTCATAAACAGAAAGAAGGCCCAAACCCTCCAATTGCCGCGCATAGCCTTCTGGGCATTGATAACAAAATCGCTACTCTTTTCGCCGTAGGTATCAATTCGGGTGCCGAAAGCACAGGTAGCTATTACATCCATAGTCAGGTTACCCATAGTTTTCTTTACATTCAAATCTTCGTTAGTTCGGGCTCTGGACTCGACATACTGTTCCAGTCTTCCAATACAATCAATGATAAGCGGATGCATTGAACGCATTTTGCCCGACGAAAATGTTGGCGATATCTAAAAAGAAATTTCAAAAAAAAATTATATCTATTAATAATTTTAATTATCCAAAAAAAAATAACTAATTATCTAACAATTGATCTCATTTTCTTCCAGTCGTCTCCCATCAGATTAAACAACGATCGGTCGTTAAACTTGTCTCCAGAAATGAAGTCGTTGTGATCGACAAACGCATGAAAGTCTTTGATATTCATATCACGTGTCAATTGCGGATCGTTTATCAGTAGTACCGGTCGGGAACCCAAATATGTACTAAATTTTTGATTTTTTAAATATTAGATTTATATATTATATATTAAATTCAAAAAATTAGTTTATTATATTTTTAAAAATATAATAAAAATTAATTACCCATAAAATCGTCCAAATTTGCGTCCATTATCTAAAGTCATTTGATGCATAGGCTTGAAAAATATTTGCCAAAGTGTACCAAAAAATACTATCGGTTTGGGTCCGGGAACCCCCCGAGAGGACCAGTATTTATAATTTCGGGTCAGATAACTGATAACACATTAAACACCCAGATATTAGTCAATTTTTAAAATTATTAATATTAAATAATACTTACAAATACAGTCCAATTAATAGTGATACAATCACTGCCATAAAATTAATGCTAAATAATTGTTCAAATATCATCTTGGTTATATTTTCTAATAAATTACACAGCTGAAACTATAAATATATATAAAAATAGTAAATAATAAACAAAAATTTATTTTAAATTTATGTGTAGCAATACTTCAACAACAAAAATTAATAATAATAATAACTAATATTATTTATATACATTTGAATTCAAACATTTTATATAACACTTATATAATAATTTTTTTTATGATAATTGCTATATTACTAATAAACTATGGACTTGTTTTATTTTGAAAATATTTTTAGTTTATTAAGTTTATCAATAATTTTATTTCTAAAGATATCTTGTAGTATAAATGTCATTTATAATACTATAGTATTATTATTATATATATATCAATATATATTTCAAGGACATATACGTTATATACAAACATTTATATTTCAATAAAATTTTATAAATAAATACTATTTTTAAAATCAATTTGTTTATACTGTATAATATAATACATAGGACAACAAATATAATACATGTTAATAATAGGACAACAAAAAGTTTATTTATATTTAGCAATAATTGATGAAATAGATGTATAAAATTTCAATTTGTTGATTATAATAATTAATATATATATATATATATAACAATATAAATGTTTTTATTACTGATAATAATAATTCAAAACTGCTAATACATATAAAGCTATAGCAGAGAAAAATAGTTTCATTGTTTATCAATATAAGTTATTACAATTATAAACCGGTTCAAACTAACAAATACACATACATTTATATTATAAATTATAATACAGTATATTATTATTATTATTATATGTAATTTCAATAATACTAAATTAATTAATATTTATTGTTTGAGTACTACATACAACTTGAACCTGACGTCACAAATTTATCAAGGATAATTTATTGAAGTTTAGATGTATATTGTTGACAATATAATGTAATTAAATCAATAAAATATTATAATAAACATTTATATATTTATATAAATAAATAATCTACACTGTTCATGTAATACATTTAAAATTTATTGATAATTTACATATTATGAGTTAAAACAAAGTCACAAAAAAAATTGAAATTAATATTTATTGTAATATATTTCTAATAAAAAAAATTTACAATTTTATTTTAATTTGAATAATTCAATATTTTTATTAGAAAATAGATATACAAACTGTAAATTTTTATTTGATGTTAATAGAGTATCAATATAATAACTTTTAAATAAAATAAAAAATAGGAAATTGATCTACCTGCTATGTTTTTTTTAAAAAAGCATAAATTTATATAAGTTTATAATTAGACTGTACAAAATAGGAAAAACAGTAGGTTTTTAATATAATAGTATAAATTTACATCAAAAATTATCTTATTTACATATTGTACATCAAATACTTTAAATATTAATTGAATAATTTAATCATATAAAAAATACATGTATAATAATATATTTTATAAATTTATTTATGATTATAATTATACCAAATTTATTTTCTTAGTTTAAAGCCTACATAGACATCGCCGGTATTTTGTCAATTTTGTCTGAACTAAAGGAACTGTAGTTTTCGGGGTTCGTATAAACTTAAATCTATTGACCAAATAGGCTGTGGCTGTCTTTGTCTCCATCAATGCAAACCTCATTCCCACACAATTTCTGGGACCCAAACCAAACGGCATATAAGTATAGGGAACTAACTTATCCCGATTGTAGGGCATAAACCGTTCGGGATTCCAACGATCGGGTTCGGGATAGTAGTCGGGATTTCGGTGCATAGATTGTATGGAAAAGTTGACTAACATTCCTTTGGGTACTGTTATACCGGTGTCACCTAATTTGAAGCCAAAAAATACACGTTTTTTTAAATATATAAATTGCTTTTACTTATTATTTTACTAAATTATTAGACAAACCTATAGTATAGTCTTGAGCTGCAATTCTTCCGACGGCTGAAACAGGATTATGAAGACGTAAAGTCTCGGCCACACAGGCCTCCAGATATGGCATTTGAGCGATACTTTCGTAGTCATACTTACCGTCAAATTTTCTCAACTCTTCGTACAGTTTTTTTTGCTGACAGTCCTCATCTAACGCATGATTGTAGATCAAGTATGTGAGTAATGTTGCAGTTGTTCATTAATAGCAAACAATTATCTACTGTTTAATAATAATAATAAATAATACTTACAAATACAGTCCAATTAATAGTGATACAATCACTGCCATAAAATTAATACTAATTAATTGTTCAAATATCATCTTGGTTATATTTTCTAATAATCAACACAAATGAAACAATAAATATCTTGTAAATAATAAATAAATTTTTTTTTAAATTAATGTTTAGCACTATTTTTTAAAAAAATAATAATAATAACTAAAATTATTTATATACATTTAAATTCAAACGTTTGAACATTTTATATAACACTTATACTGTATAATAAATTATTTATGATAAATGCTATATTACTAATAAACTATGGATTTATTTTATTTTGAAAACTTTGATCAATGATTTTATTTTATATAATTTATATACTGCATATATTTCGAGGACCTAACAAACATTTACATACAGTAAAATTTTATCAATAAATTAAATAATATTATTTTTTATTATTTTTTAAAAATTAATTTTTTTATACTCTATAAATGTATAAAATTTAAATTTATTAATTATAATTATGTATATATATAACAATATGAATGTTTTTTAATTACTTATAATAATTAAAAACTGTTAATATTAGAGAAAAATAGTTTCCATTATTTATCAATAAGTTATTACAATTATTAACTGATTCAAAATCAAAAATAAACATACATTTATATTATAATACAGTATATTATTATTATATGTAATATCAATAATACTAAATTAATTATAGTAATATTTATTGTTTAAGTACATAATTTACAATTTGAACCTGACGTCACAAATTTATCAAGGATAATTTATTGAAGTTTACTTTTATATTGTTAACAATATTATGTAATTAAATCAATGAAAAATATTAATAAACTAACATTTATTTAAATAAATAAATAAATAGTGTATACAGTTTATGTACATTATACCTGTAGTATATTTAAAATTTATTAATAATTTACATATTAAATCATAAAATTAATATTAATTTTATCATTTAATTTTATTATAATGTATTACTAATATAAAAGTTCATAGTTTTTAATTTGAATAGTGAAAACATTTAGTAAAAATAATTGATACAAAATGTAAATTTTTATTTGATGTTAATAAAATAACAACATAATAACTTTTTATAAAATAAAATATATTTTTAAAATATATCACTACATATGTTTTTTTAAACAATTAATTAACAAATAATAATTATAAATTTATAATAAATTATTGTATTGTATTTTTTAAAAAGCATAAATTTAATTAGTTTGTAAATAGACTGCACAAATAGTAAACAGTAGGTTTTTAATGTTATACATCAAAAATTATCTGATTTCAACTCCAACATAAACATCGCCGGTAGTGTACATAAATTCAAACTTATTCTCTATTAGAGGAACAGTAGTTTTCGGGGTTCGTATAAACTTAAATCTATTGACCAAATAGGCGACTGCGGTCTTTGCCTCCATCAATGCAAACCTCATTCCCACACAATTTCTGGGACCCAAACCAAACGGCATATAAGTATAGGGAACTAACTTATCCCGATTGTAGGGCATAAACCGTTCGGGATCCCAACGATCGGGATTCGGATAATAATCGGGATTACAGTGCAAACTGCGGACCGAAAAGTTGACGAGCATTCCCTTTGGTATTGTTATACCGGTGTCACCTAAATATCAATATCATAGCTAATGTTAATACTGTATATAAATAACGAAAAAAATAGTTTATAATTAAGTCAAACCTATAGTATAGTCTTGCGATGCAATTCTGCCAATTGATGGGACGGGTGTATAAAGACGTAAAGTTTCGGCCACACAGGCCTCCAGATATGGCATTTGAGCGATACTTTCGTATTCAAACTTACCATCAAATTGTCTCAACTCTTCGTACAGTTTTTGCTGACAGTTGTCGTCTAACGCAAGATTGTAGATCAAGTATGTGAGTAATGTTGCAGTTGTTTCGTAACCGGCAATGAAAAACAGGAACGAAGTGGACAGTATGTCGTCGTCATCAATGTCTACTCTGTCTTTGTTTTTCGTATCTAATGTATCAGTTTTACCATAAATCTCATCACTGGTAATATCGCCGACAACTGATTCGTCACTATTATCTGAGCTCTTGTTTTGTGCGTTAATCATAAGCTGAAGATAATCGCGTCGTTTGGTATTCTTGTCATTCTTCCTTTGGCTGACAATAGATTTTATCTGATTTTTAATGAAAAAAAATTTAATTAAATTTAATCATTAAAACTGTAAAAATCATTAAAAAAAATCCTATACTATACTTACGGCTGATTTGAAAAAGTTTTTAGATACCGGATCCTGTATATCAAAACCAATCCACTTTCGTAACTTCGGGAACGACATCAACAGGAAGAACACCCAAATCCTCCAATTGGCGTTCATAGCCTTCTGGACATTCATAACAAAATCGCTGGGTTTTTTGCCGTAGGCATCAATCCGGGTGCCGAAAGCACAGACAGCTATTACATCCATTGTCATATTACCCATTGTTTGCTTAACATTCAAATCCTCGTTAGTTCGGGCCCTGGACTCGACATACTGTTCCAGTCGACCAATACAATCGATGATAAGCGGATGCATTGAACGCATTTTGCCCGACGAAAATGTCGGCGATATCTAAAAAAAATAAATAAAAGTTAATAAAAATATATAATTTTTATTATCAAAAAATAAAACAATAAATTATCTAACAATTGATCTCATTTTCTTCCAGTCGTCTCCCATCAGATTAAACAACGATCGGTCGTTAAACTTGTCTCCAGTAATGAAATCGTTGTGATCGACAAACACATGAAAGTCTTTGATATTCATCTGTCGAGTCAATTGCGGGTCGTTTATCGTTAGGTTAGGTCGGGAACCCAAATATGTACTATAAATAATAATTTGCAATAAATTAATGATTATTTTTTTCATACATTATATATTTAATTAAAATCAAAAACAAAAAAAAATATATTACCCATAAATGCGACCATATTTTAGTCCATCGTCTAAAATTATTTTATGAATAGATTTGAAAAAAATATGCCAAACTGTACCAAACAAAACAATAGGTTTGGGTCCGGGAACTCCACGAGAGGACCAGTAGTTAAAGTTTCGGGTCAGATAACTGTTATATATATATATAAACATAATATATTATATTAATGTATATAATTGATCACAAAATAAAACTAACTTAATTTGCATTTTACTAGTATAATGTATTGAAAATTAATAGATAGTATACTAATACTAATAATAATTATTTTTTAATAGAAATAATTAAATAAAAATACTTACAAATACAATCCAATTAGTATTGATACAATTATTATCAAATAATTAATACCAAATATCATATTTGATCAATTTGAAATTAAATACTTATTTAAAATAAAATATTTTAATGTTGTTTCAAATAAATTTATTTTAATAATTATATCATATACTTTTTTATCAACACTTTAATAATAAATATATTTACTTTATATAAATGTTAATAATAAATAAAAAATAATAGTTTTTTTGTTCAATTGTTGTTCAATTATTGTTTAGTAAAGTATTATATATAAAAAGTAATTTATTTAACAACTGATGAAATATGAGTTTAAAATTACATTTCAATGTTTCAATTATATTAAGTTTTATAATAATAATAATAATAATAATAATAATAAATTATTATTGTTAACTAACTATTTATATCAGTAATTTATAATAATATTCAATATGTACTAGAAAAATAAAAAAAATAATAATACTGTAAATACATAATCCATGTTTTATCAATTTTATATATAATTATTGTAATATTATTAGATATTACAGTATATTACAAAACTAATATAACCCTGAACCTGACGTCACTAGTTTATCAATGATTTTTTTTTTTAATAAAGTTATATTAATTCAAGCTTTATATTGTCAATGATAATTTTTATTATTTATCTAAATTACAGTACCCAGGTATATTATACCTGTAGTTATTATATAATAAATATTATATAATAAATTTTTTTTATTGTTTTTAAACTAAATGATTTAAATGTTAACTAACAGTAATACATAAAAACATATTAATTTTAAATATTGTACTTAACTATAATTTGTATAAAATTATTTAAGTATTTTTGTAAATAATAATTTTAAAATATAACGCTAAAGAAAATTTAATATTTAATATATATCTTACAAATTCATAATCCAGTTACTAATGTTGATAAAATTTTTTATTATATTTGTAAATAATAATAATAATGCAATTATATTTTATAATTTGATTATTAATACTTTACTATGCATTTATTTAATGTTTAATTTTAAAATCAAGGCCATAGACAGTAATAGACAAATATAACTTTTTATTTATTATGTAATTTATATATAGTAAAGCAAAAAATTTATAAGTAATAAAATAATTATTAGTTCAATACAATAGACAGTTTTATTCTAATGTTAAAAATATTTTATTTTACTATATATTTATTTACAATAAAACAAGATTGTATTGTTTTGTATTGAAAAATAATTAATATTAAAAATTATATATTTTATAAATTTTAAAATTTCATAATGTTTATAAATTATAACTTGTTTAGCTAATATAAAATATAAATATATTATAAAGTTATTAGTATTTTATTTAAAATCTACTTTTACTTAATACTAGAAAATAATATAAATAATTTAATATTATAATAATTTGTATGTGTCTCAAATAAAATACTGTTTGTTAAATAAAATTATAAAATGAAAAAAAAATTATTTACTATTAATAGTATACTGTATAAAATTTATACTATATTAATACTGTACTTTACTTTATAAATAATATTAATAATATTTCAAATTAATCCATAGGTATAGAGTACAGAAATTTTTCAATATATTTTATATGCAATTTAAATGGTTAGCATTTAAAGTGATTTTTTAAAAATAAATTTTATACACATTTAAATTTTAAATTAAATAAAAAATAATACTATAAATTAAAATATAATAATGATTATTAGTTAACTATAAATTTTGTTGTTGTTGATAACTTTAATTAATAATATAATTATAATTATTATAATAAATTATAATAATATAATTAATTAATAATTATTCACATCTTAGAAAATGTGTTAAATCTGTCAACGGTTTACCATCAGTACAGACAAAGTAACCGCTTCTCCGGCGAAACTCTTCATTATTTACCAGCCAATAGTTGTCACAGTTTTGACAGTCAAACTTGAGACCTACCAGTGCCAGCGCGTTGTGTTTGTTAGCTTTAAGATAGGGTGCAAACACTCGTTCATCTAAATAGTCTAACACTTTATCGTGACTTTTGCTCAGATAATTGAAATCAACGGGTCGTCTAAATTGGGTCAACGAATTGATGGCAAATCCCGTACTATTCATACGATAGTTATCGTTGAATATGAACACCAATGAGCCATCCTTTTCCAGATCAAACATAAATGCCGACTCCGGTATGTAGTCGATGTTGGTTTGGGTGATCTCCAATGTATTCAATAGACGCAGATAGCGAAACGGTTGGTCACCTATTCGGGTAATACTTGGACCACGTAGTGTCACATCTTCGAGTATGTCGTGATGGCTCAGAGCACCGGTAGGTATTTCGGTAATATTATTGAAATCCAACGATAGGACAACAATTTCGGTAAACTGTCGGACGGCGGCAAATAGTGAATGACTGTCGCCGAGCGATGGATTGTAAAATATACGCAACGATGTTGTATTGCCGGTCGTATCGCCGAAAGCGTTGGCATCGATCCGACGCAAACTCTTTGCCTGTTCGACGACAATGTCGTCAAACAGTAGATCCCTAGTGGTGTTGGCCATCAGTTCAACAATTTTTGTGTTATTGATCTGCAATTTGTCGAAAAACTTTCCGTTTTCCGGCAAACTGTCGCTCAGCCGTCGGAAAATTGCCAACAAATCCATATCCATATCGCCGTTACAGTAGATGTTAGTCATGTTTTTTATACCAATTTTTTCGCGAATACATTTACACGGTTTCAATAGGTCAGCACTGGGACACTGGGCGGCTACCAGTGCTAGTATACTACCGATAATGATAATAAATATAAGTGAATAATAATTGTTATATATTTTTGAAAACATTTTATTAATTTTTTATATATAAATTTTATTTTTTTTAAATATTTGTACTGTTTAAAAATTGTTACTGGTTAAAAAAATAATTCACACAATTATTTGACTTAATAAAAAAATATATATATATATAATTAATTAACAGTTATAATTTCAATAATAAAATTATAGATTGATTAAAAAGTAAATGTAGTGATAAAAACATTGATTAAACAAATATAACTATCATATGTGAAATATTGCATATGATTCAAAAGTGTTTATTTAATAATAATTATTATATTTATATATATATATATAATTAATATTAATTGTATAGATAAATGTTTTTTATAAAAAAAATATAGAGATTACTTAAATTTAATAGTTTATAATAATGTATTTATAAAAACCATTTTTTTGTTTGTTTGATTAATAATTATGTTAAAATAAAATATTATTATAAAATATGATACATTATTATAAAAAAAAATTAACAACAAAAAATAATTAATATTGATTAATTATTATTATTATTATTAATATATTTGATAACATAGCTTATTATACTTTTTTATTATATATTTATTAAAAACAAATTATGCAAATCCTGCGCTAATCTTAGCGACAATCACTGAATAGGTCTTAGTCCAGGCGCTGGTTAGCTGACTGTCCATAGCCTCTGAGCCCAATACGTTGGTCAATAAGTCAAACAAGACTGAGCCCAACTCGTTAAACAAACCGACATTGAGTTTACGTTTCTTGTGATTGACACCCATTTTGTAGAGCATTTCGGTAACCATTTCCGTGTCCTCCAAGTTGTCCACTACGGCTGTCAGTGCGTACATAACATTTGTTGTGTGGGCTAACAAACGTTTACTTGAATGCAACTCATTTAACGGTATGTTAGCCAACGATTTGAACAGTTGCTGATAGGCTGGGTATTTGGTAAAGAAGCTATTGATAGAGTATTTTTTAGAAAAATTCATATTATTTTTTTAAAAAAAATAAATAATTAATTTTTTGTTATAAATTTCATTTTATTAAAATTTATTAAAAATATATATATATTCAAAAAAAAAAATTATGTGATTTATAAATTTATTTCTGAAATTATTGAATATATATATCAATATATATATACAGTATATATGATATATATTTTTGGTAACATAATTTCATATAAAGTATTTGCAACAAAAAAATTAATCAAAAAATAAATTATTATTATTTAACACTTACTTAATAAACAATTGATTACCAAATTGTTTGCCATCTTTGCGGACAATATCCCAACTATTCTTCACGGCTTCAATCTCTTGTGGTGTCAATCCTTCTGAAGACATTTTGATTTAAAATGATATTATTATTATTATATAAGTTTTAAATAAACTTTTATATTTGAATACAATACTCAAATAAAATTCACAACAAATTATTGATGAAACAAAAATATTTACTATTATTCTTAAAAAATTGTTGTTTGACTAGTATTTCACTTGATTTTATATATTATCCACAAAAAAAATTGATTGACTAACGTGATAGACATCACAAACATGTTTTATTTTATTATTTTTTGTTTTTTCAAAAAAAATTAACTAACATTTTACCAGATATATCATAGTTATAATATAAATAGACAAATACTTCATTTATAATTATTAATTTTTTTTATATATATATTATATATATTAGATATTTAGATTAATTATTATTTGCTATGAAGATTACGTCATATAATTCACTAATTTTGTTTGTTTTTAAAAAGTAAATTATAAATTAAATTAATATATATATGTATATAATTTTCCACTGATAAACATATACTATAATACTGTATATTTATTTATTTTTTAAATATTGAATTTACTTTATTTAGTATTAGTACTTAGTATGAGTGCTTGTATTTATGAAATTATTAAATTAAAATTGAAGGACAAGTAAATTAAATATCATTTTTTGTAACTTTTATTTTATTTTATTTTTTGGTTACATAATCTTCAACACATAGTTTTCATATACAAATATATTGATATAAAAAAAAATTTAAGTGAAAATTAAAATGCTTAGAAAAAAATAACAGTTTAAAACAAGTGTCAATTTTATCGCAAATTTAATTATTACAGTATTATTATTATTATTAACATTATATGAATAGAAATATTTGTTATGAGAGATAGTGAGAAAAAAAAATTCACTGGAAAATGAAAATTATTTTGATTAATGATTTCATTAAATTTTACTTAAAACTGAAAATATAGATTTTTTTAATAAAACAAATATTCATTAAAATAAATATAAATTATTCATATATAAAGATTTTCATATGAAATAAGTTACAACAAAAAAATAAAGTAATAAATTATAATTATTGCAAACTTAGATAATTAGATAAAAAACAATTAATTTATTACATGTATAGTATGTTTACAACAACAAAAAAAAATAATATATTTCTTATGAATTTATAAGTAAAATAGTGGTAAAAATAATAACATTGAAAATTATTATTATAATTGTTTTTAGCAACAATTTTTTGATTCTAATCAATAAATAAATAATTTAATTGAAAAATTAATTGATTGATTGATTGAAAATAATCACTTTATATGAATAATTAATCAAATATTTTACAGTAATTAATATATTGATTAGATATTTAGTTTTATTTTAAAAATATTGATGACCACACAAAAAAATATTATTTACTTTCTCTGTATACTGTTTTAGAAAATTGTATCAAATCTGTATAATGTTTCGCAAGATTGTAGATCAAGTATGTGATGATTTTAAAAAGCATAAATTTATATAAGTTTATAATTAGACTGTACAAAATAGGAAAAGCAGTAGGTTTTTAATAGTATACATCAAAAATTATCTTATTTACATATTGTAAATCAAATACTTTAAATATTAATTGAATAATTTAATCATATAAAAAAATACATGTATAATAATATATTTTATAAATTTATTTATGATTATAATTATACCAAATTTATTTTCTTCGTTCAACGCCTACATAGACATCGCCGGTATTATAAAGAAACTGAAATTTTGTCTGAACTAAAGGAACTGTAGTTTTCGGGGTTCGTATGAACTTAAATCTATTGACCAAAGAGACGACGACTGTCTTTGCTTCCATCAATGCAAACCTTATTCCCACACAATTTCTGGGACCCAAACCAAACGGCATATAAGTATAGGGAACTAACTTATCCCGATTGTAGGGCATAAACCGTTCGGGATTCCAACGATCGGGTTCGGGATAGTAGTCGGGATTTCGGTGCATAGATTGTATGGAAAAGTTGACTAACATTCCTTTGGGTAATGTTATACCGGTGTCACCTAATTTGATGCCAAAAAATACACGTTTTTTAAATATATAAATTGCTTTTACTTATTATTTTACTAAATTATTAGACAAACCTATAGTATAGTCTTGAGCTGCAATTCTTCCGACGGCAGACACAGGATTATGAAGACGTAAAGTCTCGGACACACAGGCCTCCAGATATGGCATTTGGGCTATACTTTCGTAATCATACTTACCATCAAATTTCGTAAACTCTTCGTACAGTTTTTGCTGACAGTCACATGTATTGACAGATTGCAGATCAAGTATGTGATCAACGATGCAGTTGTTTCATAACCGGCAATAAAAAACAGGAACGAAGTGGACAGTATGTCGTCGTCATCAATGTCTACCCTATCTTTGATTGTCGTCTCCAATGTATCTGTTTTGCCGTATATCTCATCACTGGTAATATCGCCGACCATTGGTTCGTCACTATTATTATTATCTGATCTTTTATTTTGTGCGTCAATCATAAGTTGAAGATAATCGCGTCGTTTGGCATTTTGTGACATATATTTATCGGTGTTTTCAGATATGTTAAAGAGTCGCAAAATATGGATAGCAATGAACGACAAAGAGCTCAACAGATCGCAAAAGTTGGACAGCTTTGGCTTCGTTAGGGCTAAAGGATTGCCGAATCGGCCGCTGTGTCTCATCTATAGGCGTGCGTTGCGGATGTTTTCGGGACTGAAAGTCGAAAAACTTGACGGATGACGACAGACAACATATACTTGATATGCATAGCAATGGTATGAAAATCAGTGACATTTCTTACAGAATATTTTGCGAACCAAAGACTGTCACTGAGATTATCCGCAATAATGTCAATACAACTACTGGTGATAAACTGGTAAAGCGCTGGAATGACAGTGAAAATCAACGGTTTATCAAAACAATCAAAGAAGTTATTCAATAAATGTATTATTTTTTAGCGCTTTATATTGAAAATAATTAGTATAAAAAAATTACTAAATTTAGTTAATAACAGAAACAATAAAAAAATATTTTTATTAATTCATATATCAATTGACTATACAATCACTAAATCTGTGACGACGGCCGTCCTAGCGATCGATTCGGTGTCAACGATGGCGTGAGTCCAGCGGCCGGTCCTCGGGAAGCTACCTGTTTCTCAACGGCAACAGTTATGTATCGTTGAGGTGAATTTGAACTCTTGAAGTCGTATGTAAGTGAAAACTTGACATAACGTTTCCCAAGAGGTGTGACCGAGGTCAGATAGTTTAGTTCAGCATCAAAAGTCAATATTGTTGATAGTTTGGCCACTGTGACGGTCCAGTTGTTGCGGCAATCGCTATATATATATAATTATTATATGATTGAGAGAGAAAAATCAAGACTTATCAAAAATAATACTAATCCTTAAACAACTGAAAAACTTTCTTAATCTCTATCACTTGATTTCAAATATTTTTACAAATAGTTTAATTCAAAATTTATAACATTATTATTATATAAAGGCTTTTTTAGACTAAAATTATATACAAACCAGAGATTATATTCCGTGTGAACATTGAGTATATCTTGTGAAATATATTTAACAAAATACTCAGGTTCATCTTTTTGCAAACAAGTACCTAAAAAGTCATAAACCTCTAGTATGACATCAATGACGGTCAGGCAACGTGAATCCAGATAAGATCCCTTAGCGCCACGTCCAGCGCGCCTATCACTGGCGTTAATTGTGACGACTTTTGGATCAGATACTCGATCTTCATTGATGTCACGGTACCGATACCTAAGAATATTTAGGTCAACCAATGACTCGTTTTTGCCGTTTTTCTTCTGAAGCCCGGAAGAACCGCTAGTTTTTTTAATAGTCTTTGAAACTATTTTATTCTTATCGTTCGATGGCTTCTGAGCACCGGATAAACCACTGCTTGGATCCGTTGATGGTTTCTTTGCTTCAGTCGACGACTTCTTTGAATCATTGAATTTATTTTTGTTTGCTCTGTTTCTTAATTGCGAAAACAGTGTTCCTCTTGTATTCACGAGTTCATTGTTCTTCGTCGGTGCAATCGCTAAGCCATTGGTCGAACTGTCGGCCGGAGTTCCATCAGATGAAGTGGTTTTGGGTTTGTCATCGGGTTTTGATGTCGTATCGACAGTAGCGCCGCCGCCGCCACTGACAGCAGAATTGTCGGCCGAAGCAGTGGCCACTTTAGGTTCGGACGGTTTTTTTGTCGGCAGCTTTGGTTCGGACGGTTTTTTCTTACCGAACTCCGAGTCCACTGTCGGAGCCGCTGATAGGTCTATGGGCTTAACAGAAGTCTCCGATTTCTTCATTTCAATCTTTGGTTCCGATTTTCTAAACTCGATTTTCGGTTCGGATATCTTTTTGTCGATCATTGGTACGGATTTAGTGGTGATTTTAGGTTCAGATTTTTTGGTCCCAATTATCGGCTCTGATTTCTTTTGGCCGATCATTGGTCCGGACTTTATTGGCGTAATCTTTGGATCAGATTTCTTCTTCTGAAGCCCTGAAGAACCGCTACTCTTTTGAATGGTCTTTGATTTTGTATCGGAAACCACTTTATTTTTATCGCTCGACTTCTGAGCACCGGATGAACCACTGCTTCCCTCTTTCTTTGGATCAGACGATGGCTTTTTCTGAACAGATGTTGGCTTATTGGGAGCCTTTTTCGGATCAGACAATGGTTTTTTAGGGTCCGCTGATGGCTTCTTCGGATCTGTTGACGGTTTTTTCGGATCGGATAACGGTTTCAATGACTTTTTCGGATCGGTTGATGGCTTTTTCTTGTCGGACGACGACTTCTTAGGATCCGATGACGACTTCTTAGAATCCAACGTCGACTTCTTTACTTTTCCTTTGTCTTCGCTGCCCTTCTTCTTGTCCTTCTCTGGCTGACCCATAACTAACTGTCTTTTTAATTGATTTAATAAACAAAAAATATCTTCACTTATCAGCAGATGATGTCAACTGTTTTTTATTAAAACTATGAATTCACTGACAACTGACAAACCGATCGTTTGAATGATTTATTAATAATTAATTTTTTTGAAAATTTAAATTCAAATTAATTATTTAAACAATTCATTGTTTACGTGATTTTTGTTTTAAATAATAAATTTTAATTAATTAAATAAATTCAACACAAAATTAAATCAATTGTTAATTAATTAATTTTATTTTATTTTTTTTTTGATAATTATTTTATGCAATCAATTATTTCATTACAAATATAATGAATTATTGAATATAAAACATTACTAAATAAAATGATTGAAATTAATATTATTATATTTTTTAAAAATTATTTTAAATGATTTTATATTTAGATTTTATATTTTAATATAAAACACACATAAAAAAATTTAATTTAATCTATTTAATTACCAAAATAATACATTAAATAGATATACACTGTATATTAAAACTTGATAATATTTTTTTTTTAAAGAAAATTACAACAAAATATACAGTCCAATAAAAAGTTCATATAATAAATTCAATATATAATAAAGTCAATGATTATCTAAATTATTTTTATAAATTACAGTAATAATAATAATAGCCATTGATATGCAATTAATTTAAAAACAAATATCACATATAATTTGGTGATTCAAATATTTTGTTGTTGTGATAAAAACAAAAATTTTTAAGTTATTTTATCAAAATAATTATTTCAATTTTTTGTTGTTGTTATTACTGTAATAACTATCAAAAAATAATAATAAGTAATTATATAATATAGATATAATTAATTAAAGTAGAAAATTATGACTATTTATAATTTAACAATATATTTAAATTGTAATTTAAATTGTAATTTAAATTTTCTAACTAATAATTGGTATAATTTATAACATACTGTATATTTAAAAATGCATTATCTTTCAGCGCTTTTATATTGAAAATAATTAGTATTAAAAAAAATTTACTAAATTTAGTTAATAACAGAAACAATAAAGAAAAATATTGTTTTTTGTTTTTATTAATTTTCTTTCAAATAATAAATCAATTGACTATACTATCATTACATCTGTGACGACGGCCGTCGTAGCGACCGATTCGGTGTCAACGATGGCGTGAGTCCAGCGGCCGGTCCTCGGGAAGCTGCCGACTGATTGCGCTGACGACGGCTGATTCGCAGGAACTGTTTCGGTGAGATCCGTGAGCCACACGCCCGACAAGACATACGGTCCAGAGCTGGATGACCAGTACTTTGTTGTCCAGTAGTCAGACTTTGTTGACTAGTTTACGAGCTAAAGGCTCCGCCACCAGACATAAGTGAACTCGAAGATGGACTGTTGCTAAGCATTGGTCGCTGACCACTCATTAGAGGTGGCGATGATTCTAGCGATGACATTGACGACGACGACGCCATCGATGATCGGCGTAGATTTGCCTGAGATGAGCGACGGTAAGGCCGAGACTAACGTCGATTGACCTGAGATTGACGTCGCTTGACATGAGATTGGCGTCGCTTGACATGAGATTGACGTCGCTTGACATGAGATTGGCGTCGCATTGATTGTGATTGACGCCGATTGGACTGAAATTGTGTTGTTGATGATCGTGACACGGGTCGAGGTATTATCTGCTTTGTTCACCAAAACTACTCGACTGTTGCATTAAATAATTAGTCAGTAAGATATGCGGCGGCGGTGGTGGCGGTGGCGGAGGTGGAAGTTGTAACGGACGTGGAGGTGGCGGAGGTGGTAACTGACGTGGAGGCGGTGGCGGTGGTGGAGCTTTCCTAAAGCTATACGCTTGACCAAAACTTTGTTGACTAGACAGCAGTGAAGACAGTTCATTGATTTCATTGATAATAGTCGTACAATGTATTGACAAAGACATCAGAGGAATGGCTATCAATTGTATGCAAACATATTGATCACCAAAACGACGACTTTTGTATTGATAATGGCATTCAATTCTGTCGTTGTTTATAATAGTGTTACTGATTGTTGGCTGACATTCAAAGCCATTTGCTGTCATCAATGGCAGTAAATCTTCAAACAGGATGTCTACCAATGGATAGTTATGTTTCTCTAAATTATCTGTCATATCATATCATTGTTTTTTAATCCTGTTTTTTAAATATTAATCGCGAGTTATTTATTATAATTGAATTACTAATTAAATTATTTCAAACATATTTTATAATTATAACTGAAATTAAAATAAAGAGAGAAAATATTAATAATAATTGTGATCTTTTTTTTTAAAAAATGACATCAATTGTAATGATTAAAAAAGTTGGCGCAAAACAAATGGTCGACAATAAAAGTTTGCCAAAGACTAAGACCGTTTGGGGTCTGACTGTCGAAGAGATCGAGTTCTGTACCATTGGTTTTATGTTGTTGTCGTTTGTGGTGTTGATCATCGGTTTTCTGTATGTACTGCTAAACATCAGTCGCTATATGAAAGTAATGGGCCGTTTATCGCAGCTATGGATACCCATACCGTTGTTTGTCTGGTCGTTCATACCGTCGGGTGTCGGCATTTACGGCATATGCGCTGAAAACCGGATACTATTGATGGTATTCATTGGACTCGACATCATATCATTGTCTCTCTATCTGTGGATTACCATTGCTGTCGACTTTATGAGAATTGGTAACTAAATTAATAAATAATTTTTATTACTAATTAAAACTATTGTATCAAAACATCATTAGGTGCGACAATAATTTTCTTAGTACTGGCCATACAATTGCTACTATCGGTACTATTTGTACATAATCTATGGCTTCACAAACAATTGTTTAAGAAAGTATTAAACAAACTACCAAAACAACAGTCGGCCAATGATTTGATTATGGGATCAAGTATTGTATTGGCAAACATTGAATCGGACATCAATAATAAGGATGAGACAAAACTAACAATAATACCATTGTCACCAACCAATCAAAACGATAGTAATGAGGATAACCAGAAAATTAGAAAATCCAATGACAAAGATGTCATGAAAGATGGGGGTAATAGTGGTGATAATAAACCATTGATGAAAATCAATGAAACAAACAAATAAATAAATAAATAAATGTTTAATTATAGCAAAGAAAAAGTTTGTTGTTGTTGTTAATGAATCAAATGATTAAAGTGGGAGAAAAAATAATATTTTATCAATAAATTTATATACTGTATAATTAACTAATTTTTTTGTACATTAAATAAAATATTGAAAAACGATTTAATAACTTTATTTTTATTAAATTTTTATATATTCATACATTTATGATAACAAATATATACAGTATATATACAGTATATGAATTTACATTAATTTTTTAATAATAAGACAGCAAACAGATATATTAAACTGTAACGACATTTGGTTGTTGTTGCTGTTGTTGCGGTACTGCAGCCACTGTCTGGACTATCGGTTGACCCGAACCTTGATTAGTATATACATGAACCACCCGACCTGGTTGTCCACCGCTCCGGTGCTTATTACGGTTGTCCGGCAACAGTATGTCTTCCATAGCTCTCAGCAGAATCCATATGAAGAATACCAGACAACTGCAACAGCAGATGGTAAGCATAATAGACCACAACATGAATATGATGAGTGCCAGAGCAAGATCTTCGGGATTGGTTTTGTCTGTCGCCGGTAAGTCACCATAATATCTGACTGACGATACAGTTTCGGCACTAATTACTGTCAAAAACAATACAATAATCGTTGATTTGGTCATTGATTTGCTGATCATGTCTTTAGTTTTTGTTGTTGAGTGTGTGTGTGTGTGTGTATACCCAGAGTTTTGGTGTCCAATAATTTAATAAGTTATTCAACGTTTTTGTTATTATATTAGACTGTAATTTCAGTTATATATTATATTTCTCTCGTGAATTACCTATAAATTATAAAATCTTATAACGAGATTCTTAAAACACAAACTACAAAAAAAAACATAAATTCATAATTATTTCAGCAAAAAAAATTAATAAATTAAAACCAATTTAACATTATTTGTATACAATCATTGATAAATCAATAGCAACTAATCATTATTTAGTTTTTTACATAATTATTCACATAGTATAAAAATATTTATTTTAATAATTTAAAATAAATAAAATTTAATTTAAATTTATTCAATAAATAAAATACTAGCAATATAATGTATTTTTTATACAATTGACAATAAATTTATTATAATTTAAAATAAATAATTAATTTAATAATAACTAATTAATCATTGAATTTACAATCTAAATTACAGTATATAATGAATGATATGTTAGAATATAAAAAAATTGTTTCAAAAACTATTAATTTTGTTGTTATTGGAAAAACATTAAAACAATAACAACATTTTTATGGTTAATGTTTAACCGACGGTGACTTTGGTTGGACAACAACAACAGGTGGTACCTGTTGTTGTTGTTGTCCTCCACTAACAGGTGATTGTTGTTGATTTTGTGGTACAAAAACAATTGTCTGACCAGTACTGTTAGGCGACACCGGTAACTGTCCGCCACCACCAGCTGAATGAACTGGTAGTTGTTGTGGTGGGGGTAGAAGCTGTTGCTGTTGTTGTTGTAATGGCACTGTTTGTTGAACACCCGGTTGACTGATACCATATATCTGAATGGGTTGCGGCTGATGATGACGATGACGACGACTACTAGTTGTACGATCGAAAACATCATTCAAACCACTACATAGAAGATACAGACAGACACAGCAACTGACACAACAACAGACACAACAACAGAATAATACTACGATTATGATTATTAGATTAACAATTATATAATTTTTCACTCTTTCTCCCAATTCTTCGTTTCCCGTTTTGTCTGTTGTCGTCGTTGTGTGTGAACTGTCCTCAGAAAACACAAAAACATTAATTGATTGATTGATTAATTAATTTTTTGTTTGTTTATTTTAATTGGTTTTCATAATAAAATAATAACAATTTAATTTTAGACGTAACAGTAAGTTAATACCTGACCGATACAATAGTTTCAATTATGATGATAATAATCATTGCGACCATCGAAGCCAATGGACGGCATCGTTGACTGATATAATTGGTGGTCATGTCGTAAGCCGTTATTATTTTTATTATTATTTTGTCTCAAAAATAACAACCCGACTATGATTTGTGTTTTAAAAAAATTAGTATTTTATTTAATTATATTTTTTAATTATTGTATCGCGTTTTGATTATAATTACTGTTTAAAAATAATTTATTATTAATTTTTATTTTGTTGAGTATATTTCGCGCGAATCAATCCTATAAATTGCACTAATTTAACAAAATTTAAAAATAAATTTAACAGTTATTAAACAAAAAAACAACAAAAATTAATTCAAACAAACGGACACAAAATATTCTTATAATATAACTCTTGTGCCAAAAAAACACATCATTACTATCATCTGAAGAGTATATTAATTTTATATATAATTATTAGAGATATTTTGAGGTAAAAAATGGCAGAATTTGAACAAATTTTGGAAGACTTTTTTCGGACATCTGATTTCCAGAAACAGTTGTCCAGTGTTGCCGATACTGTTGACGATTATGGCAACCAATCGTCATCGACAACCGCAACCGCAAGAGAAACCATAGTTGCAAACAATGACAACAGCTATGATCTGTTGCCAGAAAAGATCAGACAACGAGTCAATGAACTGCAGAAACTGAACGAACAAAAGAAGTCGACTGAGTTTCGGTTTGTCGAAGATTTTTTTTATTTGATCAAAAAGTACGAACAAATGTACGAACCGTTACACGAAATACGAGCCGAAATTGTGTCCGGAATGTACGAGCCGTCGGACAGCGATCTGCCCGACGACTACTACGACAACAACAACAACGTCGACATTAACGACTCAAAGTGGACACAATTGGCGGGAATTCCTTTCTTTTGGCTAAAAGTTTTGTACGCATCCGAAGACTTTTCTAAGGGCATTGTCGACGCAGATGTACCGATACTCAAACATTTGGAGGACATTCGTGTGGCAACCGAACCATCGGTGCGTAGGTTTTCCATCGAGTTTTACTTCTCGCCGAACGAATACTTCAGCAACGATGTCATCCAAAAAGCCTTTTATCTGCAAATCGATCCGCGACTAACAGATCTGTGTAGTCCCGTAAAAGTGGTATCCACTGACATCGACTGGAATGCCGACAAATGTCATTTCGTTGAACGATTTGTCGACCAAAATACCGGTGAAGAAGATTACCGCTACTATGACTCGTTTTTCAATTATTTTTGGTCATCAACTGATGAATTAGATGATGTCAATTGTCTTGAATACGACTGGGATGTGTCCCGTGTACTCATACAGGAGTTGGTGCCCAATGCTGTCAACTACTTTACCAGCGATCTTCATATCGCTGCCGATCACTGCGACAAATCCAACGAAGATTATGAGGAAGAAGAAGACGTCAATGAAGAAGATGAAACAGAAAAACATGACATTTATGAAGATAAAGAAGAAGAAGAAGGAGAAGAAGAGGCAGTCAATTATTATGACAATCAAAACATCAACCAAAGCAATGATTATGGCTATTATGACGAAGAAGTCAGCGATCAAGAGGTTGTGGACGTTGAAGACGACGACAACAACGAGGAATCAAAAGAAGTGGACGAATATCAGGGTTCAGAACAACTATATTCACAAAATTATTATTAGTTGTTCAAAGTTTTCAAAAAAAAAAGTTTTTTGTTTAAAAGATTATTTGAAAATCTATGTATTTGTGTCCAAAAAAAAATTGCAAAAATTGATTTAAATTAACAAACAAACAAAATATTGTATTATTTTTTGTTGCACAGAAATCAATATTAAAAATCAATTATTCAATAACTAATTAATTTTTTTTAATTCAATTAAATTTTATTATATTTCAATTAATTTAATGAATTTTCCCATTTAATATTATGTATAAAAAGTTCAAATGTTTGTTATACATAAAAAAATAATTTGTTTATTATCTTATTATAAAAGTAGCGTTAGATCAGTAAATATGAATTTTTATATTTAATATTAACAACTATTTAATAAATCTTTTTTTTTTAAAAATTAAACTAAATATTGATATATAAATTATTTTTGTTTCCATCAAAAAATAATATATTTAATTACATATTAGAAAAAACATGAGTTTTCAATAGTTTGTCGATTAAATTGAATTGCAGTCACTTCTTGTGTATTAAGTTTTTTAATCCCCAATTCAATTGACTGTCCAATGGATAACTGATTGAAGGCATTCATTAAGTCATCAAAATTGTTAATTGATTTTTTATCGATAGTTATAATTTGATCACCAATTTTAAAGTTTTGTCTAACAAATTGAAATTTCATTTAAATAATGATTAAACATTTATACAATATTTTATTTATTAATATATTAATGTAATTATCTGTAAATACCTGACATTCTTAGCGTTTGGCATATATTTATGGACACAATAGGTTTGACTATCAGTACTGTATTTGACAAAAACACCGATAAATGGTTTGCCGGAGGAATACAACTGTTTTCTATCATTTACTAATTTCTGACGAATTTCCTGTCCTTTGCCTTTAGCTCTGTCTATAAAATCTAGAATCAATTGAATGGTTAGAAAATAAGAAGAAAGAGAGAGTTAAAATAGTTAAATATTATAATTTTTTTGTATATACTGTATACTAGTATATGTATATATATAAAGTGGTAGTACCAAACAGATCCTGTCTTCTAGTAATGGTCAGTGCCTTAAAACCAGTACTAAATAATACACCCACCACTTGGCCATCCGTGTTGACCACTGCTCCACCGGAACAACCTTCTGAAGCCGTAATCGATGCAAACATATACAACTGGTTTGTGGGCCACATCAGGTGCTCATAACCATACCATCCATCTGATATTTCAACGAAATAGTTCATATATTTTATTATACCGGTTATCACTGATTTAGGGAATTTTGGAAATCCAATGGCCATTACTTGATCGCCAAATGTGGCGTCTGTTTTGGCAATCCTAAGCTGAGCTAACTGTCCGGACTTGATCTTTGGTAATGTCAACAGTGCCAGATCCAGATGCGGTTCAACATAAATCACATGCGCCCACCACTCGCTTATTTCTTCCTTATCTCTTAAGATGGGATCTTTATTTGGTATGTCAACCAACAGGCCAGACACTTGGTAAGCACTCGGTAACCCAACCAAAACAACTGGACGGTCCTCGACGTTATGATAATTGGTGACAATTAGGCCATTAGTTGCATCTACTATCCAACCGGTTGCCTTATATTCATATTTATTGTTAGTCATATCGCGTCGTCTAATTTTGACCACACTTTTAATGCATTTATTGTAAACATTGTCTATCCATTGGTTTTCATTATTATCCAACTGAGCAAATCTTATAGTCATCATCGCTGAAAGTGATCTCCAATTAAGACATGACTTAACCGGTATTTGATATGATGTCTGTCTGTTCTTAGGCTACTGTTGTTGGATACCAATGGTTAACAGTAACCGTAGACAACAGCAACAGTGAAGACCTTTACATTAAATAAATAATTAAATTAATCAATCAATGAGTACTGCAATACTTTTAAACATTAATAAAAAACTAACTCTTTATTGAAAATACATGATTTATAGGTATAGCCTTAAAATTTCTGCAAAAAAATTTCTACATTTCTACATATAAAGATTAACAAATAAATTTTGTCGGTTTAAAAAATTTTATTAAAATAAAAAACTATTATAATTTACAAGTAAAAACATTTCTAAATGTGAGAGTCTTAAACAGCGGCGCCGACGACGACAGCGGCGATGCTTTTAATTTTAAATATCTGGTCAACAATACGTCGGACTTAAAAGTGACCAAGGACAATGTTGTAGATAATTTTAAAATGGATAATATTGTAATTGTTCATTTTTTAATTAATTATATGAATGGGCAGATAATATACAGTCGACTGTTAAAAATTGTAAAAATGATAGTCGACTGCAATTATCTGCCCAATAATGCAATTAATTAAAAAATGACCAATTACAATCTTATCCATTTTAAAATTATCTACAACATTGCCCTTGGTCACTTTTAAGTCCAACGTATTGTTGGACAGATAATTGAAATTAAAAGTATCGCCGCTGTCGTCGTCGGCGCCGCTGTTTAAGACTCTCTCTTTCTAAATTACTATCAAGAAATGTACGATTATCTCGATGAATATTATGAAATATTGAAAATGACCTTTCACAGTCAACATTAGTTAGTGATACAAATTTATTTTCAATATTCATTGTATTTTCTTTAAAATATTTAATACTAGGATTTTTTTTAAGAGAACTTTGAAGTTTTTTTTAAATAATCAGATGTTAATGTAGATTCCAATTCATTAATGACGTCTATTTGCTGTTTAATTGTCAATTCTTGTTTTTCCAAAAATGTAATTTTTTACAAATGTGTTCAAATGATAAAACACTCTGTAATTGACTTTTTAATTTAGGATTAATAACCAATTCTTGCAATTCATTTATTATTTTATTTGACATTTTTATCAAATCTAATGATTTAATAAAATTACAAATTATTTCAAAGTTAGTATTATAAAATACACAAGTGTTGATCCAACTATTCCAACGAGTTATTACGCTTTTTGGCGGTAAACTTAAATTGCATTTAGACAAATAAGTCGATTCTTTTTGGAGAATTTTTAAAATATTTATTCATTTTAGATACAAACGTATCAACTAATAAATGATTTTCTCTCACTTTTTCACAGATCCTAAATAAAGCATGTGTTAAACAAGTCACATGCATAGCATTTGGTAACATAACTTTACTATCTTTCATCGCTTTTATCATTGCGCTTCCCTGATCTGTAACACATAATTAAACATTTTCAAAAGCATTTGTATTTGGCCATATGTTGTTAAGTACAGATTTGAGTCCATTAATAACGCCAACTGATGATTTATCATTAATATATTTCATAGAAATTAACATTGGTTTATTGTAATTGCCAATAATTACACTAACCAACACATTCATAACAGATCTGTTATACCGATCAACAGTTTCATCGAAATATACAGCTAATTTATTGTTCATAATAATTTGTTTTATTGTAGCAAAAAGTTTATTATAAAATTTTAACGTAATTGTATCTGATAGTACTAGCACATGAAATGGTATACATGAAAAGTGTATTCAAACAAAAATTGTTTCAATTCCACGCAATTCAACTTTTCCAATGGTATGTCAGCCGCCATGAATGCAAAAGCGAGCCGAAGAAGAAACAATGTGTGATCAGTTGATGGCTTGTCGTTATTTTCCGTCATTATTTTATTTAAATTTTCAGTCGATTTTCTTTTTATACTGTTGACTTCAGTATGTTTAGCACTTTTCGTGTGTCTTTCAATTGTTTGGCGTTCTGTCCGATGAGTAATATTTTCAAAATAGTAACAACATTTGTTACATTTTAATTTATCATTTGATATCGAAAAGTTGATGTCATCACTCACAAGTTTATCAATAATTAACTTTAATTTATTTTTATCATTAACTTTACTACTTAAAATTGATGCCATTGTTATCCAAATTTAAACTGAAAATGTTACCACAAAAAAATTATAACAATATTTAACACAACAAACATCAAAACACACTGAACAGATAATTATTATTTCAAATATTTTTATACAAATTTTTAATATTTATTATCATGTGAATTTGTTAAATTATTTACTTTTACACTATCACATGTTATACCTTAACCGCATGTACCGCATTGTACCGCATGTGTTGTTTATCCTTATTTTTGTTTATTTTAGGGATTAAAAAAGATTATTATGTAGAAATTTTTGGCCATTTGTCGCATATTTTAAAATTTTATTTAATTAAATCAATTAACAAATTTCAATAAATATTAGACAACAAGTTTGAACATCATTTAACATTTTGTACTTCATTTAGTAGAATAATAATTTTTGAAATTTCAATTAGTTAGTTATATAACTTTAAAGTTTATATAATTTTTAATATTTATTATCAAAATGGGTTCCACTAGTCAGTCTATTATTATTCTTCATTTAGATTTAAATAATAATTTTTGATATTTCAATTAGTTAGTTATATATCTTTACTGTTATTATAATTTTTAATATTTATTTTCAAAATGGGCTCCACTAATCAGTCTATTATTATTCTTCATTTAGTTTTGAATAATAATTTTTGATTTTAAAATTAGTTAGTTAAATAGCTTTACTGTTCGTATAATTTTTAATATTTATTATCAAAATGGGTTCCACTAGTCAGTCTATTATTATTCTTCATTTAGTTTTGAATTATAATTTTTGATATTTCAATTAGTTAGTTATATAGCTTTACTGTTCGTATAATTTTTAATATTTATTATCAAAATGGGTTCCACTAATCAGTCTATTATTATTCTTCATTTAGTTTTGAATAATAATTTTTGATTTTAAAATTAGTTAGTTAAATAGCTTTACTGTTCGTATAATTTTTAATATTTATTATCAAAATGGGTTCCACTAGTCAGTCTATTATTATTCTTCATTTAGTTTTGAATTATAATTTTTGATATTTCAATTAGTTAGTTATATAGCTTTACTGTTCGTATAATTTTTAATATTTATTTTCAAAATGGGCTCCACTAGTCAGTCTATTATTATTCTTCATTTAGTTTTAATTAATAATTTTTGATATTTCAATTAGTTAGTTATATATCTTTACTGTTATTATAATTTTTAATATTTATTTTCAAAATGGGCTCCACTAATCAGTCTATTATTATTCTTCATTTAGTTTTGAATAATAATTTTTGATATTTCAATTAGTTAGTTATATAGCTTTACTGTTCGTATAATTTTTAATATTTATTATCAAAATGGGTTCCACTAGTCAGTCTTTTATTATTCTTCATTTAGTTTTGAATTATAATTTTTGATTTTAAAATTAGTTAGTTATATAGCTTTACTGTTATTATAATTTTTAATATTTAGTTTCAAAATGGGCTCCACTAGTCAGTCTATTATTATTCTTCATTTAGTTTTAATTAATAATTTTTGATATTTCAATTAGTTAGTTATATATCTTTACTGTTCGTCTAATTTTTAATATTTATTTTAAAAATGGGCACCACTAGTCAGTCTATTATTATTCTTCATTTAGATTTAAATAATAATTTTTGATATTTCAATTAGTTAGTTATATATCTTTACTGTTATTATAATTTTTAATATTTATTTTCAAAATGGGCTCCACTAATCAGTCTATTATTATTCTTCATTTAGTTTTGAATAATAATTTTTGATATTTCAATTAGTTAGTTATATATCTTTACTGTTCGTATAATTTTTAATATTTATTTTTAAAATGGGCACCACTAGTCAGTCTTTTATTATTCTTCATTTAGTTTTGAATTATAATTTTTGATTTTAAAATTAGTTAGTTATATAGCTTTACTGTTCGTATAATTTTTAATATTTATTTTCAAAATGGGCTCCACTAGTCAGTCTATTATTATTCTTCATTTAGTTTTAATTAATAATTTTTGATATTTCAATTAGTTAGTTATATATCTTTACTGTTCGTCTAATTTTTAATATTTATTTTAAAAATGGGCACCACTAGTCAGTCTATTATTATTCTTCATTTAGATTTAAATAATAATTTTTGATATTTCAATTAGTTAGTTATATATCTTTACTGTTATTATAATTTTTAATATTTATTTTCAAAATGGGCTCCACTAATCAGTCTATTATTATTCTTCATTTAGTTTTGAATAATAATTTTTGATATTTCAATTAGTTAGTTATATATCTTTACTGTTCGTATAATTTTTAATATTTATTTTTAAAATGGGCACCACTAGTCAGTCTTTTATTATTCTTCATTTAGTTTTGAATTATAATTTTTGATTTTAAAATTAGTTAGTTATATAGCTTTACTGTTCGTATAATTTTTAATATTTATTTTCAAAATGGGCTCCACTAGTCAGTCTATTATTATTTTTCATTTAGTTTTAATTAATAATTTTTGATATTTCAATTAGTTAGTTATATATCTTTACTGTTCGTCTAATTTTTAATATTTATTTTAAAAATGGGCACCACTAGTCAGTCTATTATTATTCTTCATTTAGATTTAAATAATAATTTTTGATATTTCATTTAGTTAGTTATATATCTTTACTGTTATTATAATTTTTAATATTTATTTTCAAAATGGGCTCCACTAATCAGTCTATTATTATTCTTCATTTAGTTTTGAATAATAATTTTTGATATTTCAATTAGTTAGTTATATATCTTTACTGTTCGTATAATTTTTAATATTTATTTTCAAAATGGGCTCCACTAGTCAGTCTATTATTATTCTTCATTTAGTTTTAATTAAT